GAGAAGCCCAAGAACGAACCGGCTCTTTTGACAATACTGACCATGCTAAGGCCAAGGCAGACTTTGACAATGCATTTGCCGCCTTTACCTCAGCCAAAGCACCCGGCAGCACAGACAATGGCGCTGCTGCAAAGCCTCAGAACGCATTCGACTCTGAATTCCCGCCCATTTCTGAACTTGAGCGGGAAATAGATGAATCAGATAGCGAGAGGGGCTTTGATGATGACTTTGCTCCCGCATCCCCAGAAAACAAGGCCAAGGAGAAGCAGATCGCTCCGGAGCCAATTCCCGAGTCTAATAAACCAGCTGCCGAAGCCGCCGAAGCCACCGCTCCTTTATCTCAACCCCAAGAACTAACAGCCTCCCATGCTGAAGCCGAAACCAAAAGGTAAATTCAGGGAAATGAAGCCGGTTATCAGCAATCATAGCCGTTATCTTGATAATTGTTACTGACATTCAAATTTCTATAGCCCTGAACTAGCCTCTTCTCCCGCCACAATCACCAACAACCATTTAACTACCTCTCAGATCTCTAATGCTGATGACATTTTTGGCTCAACCACGCTTCCAGCAACTAGCCAGGGCTCGGCCGCCAAGGGCGCCTTTGATGACCTCGACGATGATTTCGAGGGACTCGAAGATGCCAAGGAAGGCTCTGCAGATGATGACTTTGCCAACATCTCTCGCTCTGGACTGGATGACTACAACCCCATGTTTGACAGCAGCCCCCCAGCTAGCCAAGCCAAGAGCGAGTCCACGGCATTTGGCAACGAGAGCAGCTTCGACTTCATCTCATCCAACTCAGCCACCAGCGCCCCCGGCCAGTCTAGCAATGGACAGCAGAAGGGAGCAGAATCTCATGATTGGGACGCCATCTTTTCTGGCCTGGACTCTCCTACTGCCGCCGCCGCACAGCCTGTACAGAGCAACAACACAGGTCCGGCGCAAGAAGAGTCTGCAGAGTCCCGCCCCCCTGCACCTGGTCGGGCCCTCACAGAAGCGGGAGAGCACGATGATCCTATTCTGAAGAACCTTACCAGCATGGGATACTCTCGTCCTGCCGCCCTTGCCGCCCTTGAGCAGTACGACTACAACCTGGAGCGAGTAAGTTGACTTTCGCCTGAGAGACGCTATTATGAGAAACTTGATACTGACTGCTCCTGACTTAGGCCGCCAACTTCCTTGCCAGCCAGTCTTAGAACAAGAGTCAAGAGTGGGGATAAACCGCTGATAATACAGATTTTGGCCTTTCAAAACGGAGTAGGAAATCATATTACCGCATAGCAAATGCCGTTCGTTCTTTAATTGTACAGGGAAAGAGGGTGGATACTTTGAATTTCTTGATACAGCACTTTTCCTTTTCCTTTTTTATCTTTCCTTTATAAGGGGCCAGAATTTGTACAGGGCCGTCGCAGTCGCGTTTCTATTATACTACTTCGTTTCGGACCAAGGACAGGGCAGAAGGGAGGGGAAGAAGAAGTAGCCCATTATATAAACCGATCGTTACTTTGTTCTACTATTATTTCCTTTTTTCAACTTTTATGTATTCTGATGGATAGTGGGAGGAAGATTGTCGTTATATGCGCTTACAAAAGGGATGCGAAGTCCTTTTTGTTTTGTTTTGTTTTTTCCAAAGGAGAGCAGCAGGCTATGATATTTGAGTCACTATTGTTTTTCTCTTCTCAATTTTTGACTTTGATGTTTTTGGTTTGGTGTGAGATGTAATCTCTTGCGACTCAGCTAAATATGCTAGCAAAATCTGCTCTCTCATAAACGCAACTCTCCGTCTCTCTTGTATAACAGCTCCATTGACAACCATAGAAACGCTAATATAGCACATTTAAACCATTTGAAATCGTAATAAACCACATTCCTCATCCACGTGAAATGAACTCGCCCATCCATTCAATGCCGCCAGATTCCATTTCCCGCTCTTAAAACTAACTACAATGCCTCTCTGCCCACACTTCATCAGTCCTGTGCCGTATATATATATATATATATATATATATATGTTTAATTATTTGATCTTGGCCATCACCGTCTCCGGTCCTCTCACAATATCCATCTGCGCCGCCCTCGCCTTGACAGCATTCAGCATGCTCCTCTCAAAATCGTCTCTGGACCGCAGCACGGCCTCGACCCAGCTAATCTGCAGATCCCAGTACGCAGACTTGAAAGCCGCAAATTCATCCGCCACGGAGTCTTTATCCACAGAGAGAAGACCCAAGAACGGCTCGGTGACGCGCCACGTGTCCTTGATGGACATTGCGACCTCTGGGCTGGCCAGGTTGGAAAAGTACTCGAACGCAGTGGCGATGTCATTGAAGAGCTTGTCGCGGAAGGGATCGGTGCGCCGGAATTTGGCGCCTTTGTTGCGCACGGCAGATAGGTAGCGCACGAGGAGCTCGTCTGCGAAGATCTCGATGAAGATGTCGAGGAGGGAGTGGTGCAAGGCCTGGCGGTACTCGCCGACGTATTCTTCAAAGGTGACGACCATTTGCTTCATGGCCGTGTTGGAATACCACTTTGGCGTGAAAAAGTCTGGCATGACGCTCACGAAGTCGACGGCAAAGACGAGATGTGCAAACTTGTGGATGCACCATGTGCTAAAGTCGACGTAGCCGTCGCGGAGGGCGTTGAGCTCTTGGTCGGCGCGCTCGAGGTACTGCGGGCTGACGTTTCTCTCAAACTGCAGGCGGAAGCTCGACAGGTAGCCGAGGCGGTTTTCCTCTTCGTTGTCGTCGATGACGCCAATCTGGTCGTTGGCCGTGGCGACGAGCCAATCTTGCAGGGCCTGGAAGCCTTCCAGGTCGGACATGGCAGTCTCGTACCGCACAGCCTCATCTTCCAGCATGCGCTGCCACGACTGCTGGCGGCTTCGTAACCGGAGGAACATGGCGTCGATGACGCCCTCGACCACGTCTGTACGCTGCGAGTTGATGGCCGCCTCGACCTGCTCGCGCAACATCCTCCACAAGGCCACGAGATTCTTGGTCCGGAAATAGCCATACTCATCCTGGTCCAGATTAGAGCCTTCGATGTTGCGTTCGGCAAAGTCGCGCTTCTCCTGTGCAAAGATGCGGTCGATCCATTCGTCGAGGAATTTGATAATGAGCTGCCGGAAGTCACGAACAAGCTCTGCTTCACGATTGTCAATGACGTGTGGTACTAGATCTTCTTGTTTGAAGCCTATTTTGGACATCTTTTTGTAGTACTTCTCAGGGAAGCTGATGATGGAGAGGGTATGTGCCGAGCTAGCTTCCGGATCGTCCACCATGCCAATCAGGAAATCGTGCATCAGAACGTGATATATATCCGCATATGTCTTTGCGATCCGCCACTTCTTCGGCATGAGCGGTGTCATACCAATCTTGACGGCATTAAGGTCATTGAAGAACCACTTCATCGTGGCCTCTAAGCTATCGGCATCGTCGAGAAAGTCTTCTCGGGCCTGTTGAAACTGCTGCTCTGCGCTGAGCTTGATGGCCTGCATAAACTTGTCCTTGTAGCCGCGGACTTTCCTGGCACCGTCCGTGATGCCCTGGAATCGGGCCGCCATTTCCTCGTGGTCCTTGAGTGCTTCCTGCAGCGCCATGACGCGCTGATCACTCTTCTCTTCGGCTTCCATGACGACAGCAAAACGAACCACCAGGCCGTTGTTGTCGCTGACGACGAGGTTGATGAGATTCATAGCCAACAGTCCAACGTGCTCGTCAAACCAGTCGATGGTATCGTCCAGCCTTGTAAAGTAGTCCTCCAGCGTCGACTCCAAGCTGGTGTCGTCGGCCCTCTGTATCTGCTCCATGGCATCGTCTCGTATATTTCGCAGCTGCGTCAGCTCGTAGTGGCACGGCAGCAGGTTCGGCATATTCTCTCGATCTTCGTCGTCATCCCTCAGCATCCCCTCCACCACGACCAAGCGTTCGTTAAACGTCTCGAGGTTGCGTCTCATGGCCTCGACGGCGCCAAAGTTGCGGTGCGCCTGCGACACCAGGTTGATGCTGGCAAAGTCCTTAATCATGGTCTGCGACTCGGAGCACAGCTTGTCAATCTTCATCATCTCCTCCTTGATCTGCTGCACCGCCTTCTGGCCGTCGCTGAGGCCCGTCATGCCGGATTGTGTCGTCTCGAGCTGCTCCCGCAGCCCGTTGCGTAGCTGCCCATCGACGGCGCTCTTCTTGCGCGAAAGCTCGAGCTTCAGCGCGGGTATCTTGTCCAAATCGTCCGGGTGCCGTAGCAGATCCGACAGTTTGGGGACCGGGGCGTCATCCATGCTTGGCAGCACAGCCTTGCGTGGGCGGATCGAGCTTTCGGATTAGGGGGAAGATGATAAGAAGAGGAAGAAGAAAGGAAGAAGGGGGGCCTCGAGGTTTGTCAAATCATAATGCGCGGACCGGTATGAGACGGAAGAAGAAGACACGTTCGAGGCACGGAAGAGCGTAACAGGCCAGTCGCAATTGTTCCCCCCGCAGACCCAGCCCTCACGGTTGAAGATGGTTGTAGCTTGGTGGAAAACGAAGAAAGACGCCAAGTTGTGACGATGTCGTCCGCAGGTTCGGGTTCAATGCCACCGCACCGCTGCGTTAGCTCTCTTCAGGCACCTAAGCTGTGTACAGGGCACCAAGCAATGGGCGCTAGGTGCACCCCACGCCCGCCGTCCCTACCTAAGCCACTCACTGTATTCGTACCCGCTGCGGGGAGAATCTTCAGGACGGCTGCGGCTAGATGTGGTACTACAACAAAGATATCAAAAAAAAAAGAATTGGAGCGTTGCGTTGCCAATTAATCATTATCTCTATATCTCTATATCGCTTGTTATTAGTATGATAAGCTACCGTTATGATAAATCTATAATGCAGAAATTAAATGCTTGAGTCCAAAGATGAGGGCGAAGCGGCCATCCGGATCTAGAGTTGGAAGCCAAAGGGCAGTAACACGCTGTGAGCCGATAAATCCATGACACTACATATCCCTAACACGCCGATTCTTCGTCCTCTTTAATCACTGTCAGAGCCTGAGCTGCTCGTGCACTCATCACTACTCGTCGTGTCGTCATCCTCATCCTCGCCCAAGATTTGCTCGGCAATCACATCGCCTGCTTCAGCGCCCTCTTTGGCCTTGCTATCATTTTCTTCATCCGTGCCTCCATCACTCCCGAGCTCACCTTCTTCCAGGCCTTCCCTATCACCTGGTCTTCTCTTCACAGGTCGTTCTGGCTTCTTCCATTGTTGCGGCCCGCCCTTGCGTTTTGCACCTCGCCATTGCTCCTCTTCAGGCGGGCTAGCCGGGTCCTTGGGCCCAAGCACATATCCAGCCGGCAGAGCTTCCCCTTCTTCTAGGACATATATGGCCGGAAATTCGATGACTTTTGTATTTGATAAAATGTTTCGAAGACAATCCTCAGCTCGAACGGGTGCCAATGTGACCCTTTTATCAGATCGCTTTTTCGAACTTGCAAGGAAAAATTGGAACCGCCGCCGCTGAGACTCATCGTCTCGCGGCCACGCATCAATTGACGCCGTCCGAATGGAAATCCAACCGCCTGTCTGAGGATCCTGCAGACAGTCGCTCGCCATGTGCCAATGAGAATCCCATGGGTTCTGGGCAACTCCCCTAAAGGCCCTCTTCTGCACTTTGCCCTGCGTCTTTGCCTGGGTTTCCAGCAACGCACTATATCCCTTGTACAGCGGCACATCGTCTGAGAGTTTCGAAAGCGTCCGTATCTTATTCAACTCGTTCGCATCGTCGCCGCCATCGGTCTTCGTCTTCTCGAAAGTGAACCACTCCGCCTGCCAATTGATTCGACCAGATTTCCTATTCACCGTCGTGTGATTTTCCCTCTGCCTCGTCATGCCCTGCGGTAAAGACACGACTTCTGTCCCCAAGTTTCTCAATTTGTTCGCAAGGAGCTTATCCACTGCTCTCTCCTTTGATCTTCTCATGAGCCTCGTCACCAGGACTTTTCTCTTCCTGCCGTCTCGGCCGACTTGCCACCTCACTTCCTCCACCGTTAGCGGTCGCAGTTCGTCCTTTTGTATGATGCCCTTATCCTCTACAAGAACTCTCTCCGCGCGCTCGGATGCCCTCTCAATGCTGTGGAGGAAGTTGTAGTCGTGGTCAACGCCCGCAGCGGTCGCCAGCCTGGATTTGGGGACATAGGCCGTCTGGTCGCGTTCGCCGCTGCATTGCGACCAAGATTTGTGCTTCTTGACGCAGGCTAGGGAACAGGTGCGGATGTTGCAGCGAGGGCATTTGTATTGAGGAACTGATGTATGGCAGATGGCGCAAAGGGAAGTAAGCAGAGGATCCGCCATTGTAAGAATTGATTTTATGAAATGTGTAAAAGAAGTTGAACGGCTCAGCAATCGCGCTTCTAAATTTTGCGAAGAGTGACAATGCGCAGCTCTTATCAGAAATTTCTTTATCTTAGTGGAAGGGAAAGACGGAACACCACCAGTCGCACACTAAAGAAGCCCGAATACTCCACTCTGCAGCAACCCCAGCAAAATATACCGGCACTAACACGAGTATCAGTTCTTATTAGGATCTACCTGCTACTACTAACAAAACAAATTTACAAAAGACAAACTTTTAAGCATGTAATTACAAAACATTTACAACGACCAGCTCAAGCCTAGCTCAGACAAAAATTGAAACTTCACCAGAGTCACCCAATTCACATTAATCTGGGAAAAGAAAACACAAAGTAGGTCAAGTGAGTAAAAGGACTCAATTGCAAGGCTTGAACTATCAAGTGTCATAATGCCCTTATGTAGGGAAGCGGGGGAAAAAAAATAAGTTATGTTAGTCATGAGAAAAAAGAAGAGATCCTAAGCCTCGATGGCGCCACGCAAGTCATCAGTCAGCCTTCCATCGCAAACTGTTCCCTTCATCTAGAATATAGTGATAAAAAATGATGATACTCGAAAAAGAACAGGATAAGAAATGAACGCCGTGATCCGAAACATGTTTTTATCCAAAGCCGCCACAAAACAAAAAGATGTCTGCCCAATGAGGCTGGGAACGCTCAAGATACAAGGATATAGAGTTTGGATCGCCGTATCGAAGTAATCAAGACAAAGGAAAAATGGGGTGATCCTGCGCGGAGGATCGACAATAGTACAAAAAGGCTGCGGCTAGGCCGGCTGGGCGTCTCCGACCTGCTCAGCTTCATGCTCAGCTTCATGCTGAGCTTCATGCGCAGCCTCTGGTTTGGCGGTGTCTTCATCGGAGATTGCCGAAAGCGCTGATTCTTGCTCCAGATGATCGGTGGAGAAGAGGCTGAGACTGCTTCGGGACGACTCCGTGGTGATGGGAGACTCGGATCTGATCACTTCGGCTGTCATCGAAGTCCTCTTCATCGTCCTCGAGAATCTTGGTTGGTATCTCGTCTCGAATAGAGTACTGTTGGGAGGCTCGCTCAGGCGTTGTGGCCGTGGACGCAAACGATAGTGCAGTGCTACTGCGGTTGGGGATGAGATCCGGCGTTGGTGGTATTGAGCTAGGCCTCCCGGCACGCGGTTGTAAGCGAGAACTCCCCTCGCCAGCGTCCGAGGTGGCGGTGGAGCGGGCGTCCTCACCATCATCACTTTGAGCAGTCGACATGCTGCTCATTCGTCGGCTAGCACGAGTGCTGGCTCGAGATTCAGCATCCTGGGCAAGCTGCAGGCCGTCGACGGCAGCTTGGCATTGGTCCGCAATGTTGCGAACGATATGAGCGATAGCATCAGTCTTGTCTTTGAGGTGACGATCAGCCACATCAACCAGACTGGATGTAGACAGCCGCTTGCTGCTGCGAGAGGGTCGCAGGGAGTGCACATCAGCACCACCCTGAACCTCGTCTGATTCATAGCCATCCTCGACTTCGCGGATAAGTTCCTCCGGCTTGGTGAGAGACTGAATGAGGTGCTCCATGTGGTGGCTTTGACCACCAATCAAGCTGCGCAGGTGCAGAACGACACGGCGAGCCTCATCACGCTGGCGAGTAATGGTGGCGTTGGTGTGGTGAAGCTGAGCGAGCTCCTTCTTGTTCCTCTTGCGCTCACGCTCGAGCTCTTCAGCAATCTCTTGCTGCAAAACGAGGGCCTCGAGAGCATCATCACGCTGCTTCTCTGTGCCAGAGAGGCGAGTGGTGAGGCGGCCGTTATCCTCCTTTTGTTGCTCAATGAGGGATGCAAGACGGCGATTCTCCCGCTTGTGACCTTCAATCTTGACCTTGAGGTCTTGAGTTTCCTTGGTAAGGGTTTCGGCAAAGGCCTGAAACTTGAGGAACTGCTGCTTCCAGCTCTCAAGCTCTTCAACAAGGTAGTTGTTACGCTTAGTAACCTTGCCAAGCTCAGTGTCCATACGGCCCTTGAGATTGATGAAGTCTTGCCAGGCCTCGAGAGCATCTCGAGAGTACTGGTTTCTCTCACGAACGAGTTCGTTGAGATGTCTCATTGACACCTTGGTCATGAGAGGTTTCTTAACTGAGCCTCCAAAGACAGCCTTAAGGCCAGTGTTGCGACCCATCTTCTCGCACACGTGGTCCATGACAGACATGACAGAATCCTGGTTCCACCACTCGGGGTCCTGGATGGACTCAACCTCGCCACGCATGACAATGATCTGACCGGCAGGCACCAACTTGCCACCGCCATAGGCGGAACGGAGATGCTGAGGAACACCGGAAGGCGTAACATCGCCATTAAGAGCCTGAGTCAAACGGCTAACAAACTTGTTGCGCTGGCCAGCAGTGAGGGCAGTAGGGGGGCTGGAGGTGAGGACAAAATTGCGATCCAAATCGACGACCAAGGCGTCGGTAGGGGCTGTGAAGAGGGACCGGCATTCAGCGGTGACACCCAGGATGTAAGGGCCAGGTTCTTGAACGAGCTCCTTGGTATGGCGCGCGTGCACCACTGGAACGTAAAGGCCGCTCCATTCAAAGACTCGCACACAGTATCGTACAGTCTCAGAGGCGATTGTGAGCATGGCCGGATAATGACTGACGAAAATGATGCGACGAGTGGGAGAGATGGCAGCTTCAATGACGCCAACAATGTTAGGGATGGACAAACAGTTGAAAAGGGGCCACATGGCGAAGTTCTGGAATCCGGTGGGGGACGAAGGGAATTGATAGCAGAGGGCATAATCTTTCATGTCGATACGGACAAGATCGTTGAGCCTGGGGGCCGGGAAGCTCAGAATGCGGGATACTTCCTCGGCATGGAACAGGTTAGTAGCCTTGTTCCAGTGAATCCACATGCCACGCAGGTAATCGCCCAGAAGGTTGTACAGAGGGTAGCGCGAGAGGAAGGACAGGCAGTAAGGGATCCAGTAGGTCTCGTCCGGGTTGTCATAGTAGTCGGTTTCGGTCCTCTTTCTCAGATCCCGGATGGTTTCGGCTCTCTTCTCGTCAGCCCGCGACCAGACGCGCAGGCAAATACCGTACAGGGTGTGAGAAGAGTCTTGCTGGAGGACGAAAGAATGGTGAGTGCAGTGGGGCTGGTTCCGGCCAGTACAGATTTCCACATCGTGAGGGAAGCAAGCCTATTCGAGCCCGTGTTAGCAGAATCCATCGGCCTCGTCTTGGGAATTTGAGATGCCCCGTTTGGCCATTGGTAAACGGCGATCCAGTCTGATAAGCTTACCCTCATGGCAGAGTGCAGAGCCCGCGCAATCTCGTTGTCCTGCTCAAGGCGGGGGCTGCTGCCTAGGATTTCGGGGAGCCAGAATTGTCCAACAGCGCCCTTCATGTGGGTGATTTTGCCCTGGGCGGGCGTGGGAGCCTTGACCCATTGAGAGGGTTCACGGCCGACACCGCAGACCATGTAGGCATGAGTGAGCGTCTTGGGGGTTCGCTGTTGGGGCTTCTGGGCCAGAGTGGACGGAATGGGCTGGGTGATGCGGGAATGGAGCGATGAGGTACGGCTGGGCACCATCATGGCAGATTCGGCGCCGCCCTGGTCGCGAGTGCTGGGCCGGCCATCACGGTCGCCAGTTCGGGGGCGCGTAAACGAAAGTTGGGTGTTGAGAGAAGGAGACATGGTTGCGGCTGGTCGATGTCGAACCAGAATCGAGTCGAATTCCCACGAGACGCTTCTTCACTCTCAGTCGAACGAGGCGAAGAGAAGAATTTGAGTCGGGGGGGGGACGATCTCAGCGGGCCATCCGAAGTGCTTCTGGATCTCACGGAGATTTGATAAAGAGAAGGACGATGGTCTGGCGAAGGAAAGGAAAAGCAGGCGTTGTCGGACGACCTCAAGTGGCCCGTACGAAGAAAAAAAAGAATCCCGTACAGAACGAGAGAAGAACAGAGAAAAAAGAGAGAGAAGAGTCGGAACCAGGCGACGCGAGACGAGGCGAGACACGGGAAATAGAAAAGGAGACCGTCTTGGGTTCTTGGGTGGCCACTAGAGAGGAGTCCGGTCTGAGATGGCCAGACAGATGCATGGGGGGAGGACATTCACTACTGCGCCTGGCATACTGGCGGTAGTGGTGGCAGCTCAGCGGTGCAGGTACCTGCGGCTGCTGCAGCTTCGGCCGGGCTGCAGCGCTTTCAGGGGCACGGCTGCATGGAGCAGGGGGGCCTGGAGTGCTTCCCCACCCGCTGTGGTTTTTTCTTCTTCGCCAGTCGGTATTAGCCAAAACAGACGTCCCAATCGGCATGGATATTGGATAATTGAAGCAAGTGATGGGCATGGTGGTGCTACAAGTGCGTGCTAACCCGCCGGACGGAGCACAATTGAGAATAGTCCGCAATAGCGTGCGGCGTTGCGATATTAGTTGGCCGAGCTGGCGTGGCACCGAGCATTGGGGACTCAATTGGAAACGACCCCATATCTGCGCGCCATCGTCACTCTGCACTCGATGCTGCAGGCGATTAATGCCCAGCAGATGCATGTTCCAGCGCAGCTGAGCAGTTGGTTGGTTGATTCATCATCCTGCTCCTGAGACGGCGACACTCTTCCTTGCTCTCCCGGACGACAAGCGAGTGCAGGGAGCTTGCTTGCTTGCATCGCCGTGTTCTGGCATCCAAATGTCAGGTCCCAGCCAGCCAGTGCTGTCCGCACGAGGGCGGCAGGGGTGCGTGCAGGGTTCAGGGGTCCTGGCCGAATTTGCAAATTGAGGTGCCCAAGGGCCAATCACGGCGCCTGGAGACCAGCTTCTAGGCCCCAGCGAGCGAAATTCGTTCTTCTCCAGCCTGCAGCTTGAGTATGAAAGGGGATCGGGGCTTGGCCTCAGCGCAGCGGCGGAGTTGGAGCTGCCTGTGGGTGAATGAATCGCAGATGGCTAGCAGTCGAGGAATCAGCACGAGTGCAAAATACCCCGGATGCAGACATTGCAAATATCTGAAACCAACATACACATTATCGTTTTTTGCTCCTGCCACACAAGCTGGAAGGCTGGCGGAGGGGAGGCGAAGAAGGGGCAAAGGGAGATGCGATGCGATGCGAAGGATGCAAGGGACAAGAACAGGAGTGGTGAGGGACCTTCAACTGAGCTCATGTACACACGCCTGTACAATTTGAAGTACCAGACACTTGTACAGCGCTCCGTGCGACTACGGGCTGCCCGACACCCGCTGGAGCTTCGCCAAGTACTGTAGTACATGTACCCAGATATTCTCTGCTCGTACAGAGCATTAAAAGCAGATTACCACTGCATACTAGCAGGCATCCTCATCATGATCATCACGACCAAATCGGCCGAGACTCAGTCTTCATCTCCTGGATCCCGGCAGTTTCAATGTTCCATATCGTCACCAGTTCGACAACCTTCTAAAGCAGGGTTCGGTGCCCTTGCCCTGCTCATCTCTGCTCGAGACCTCGCTGGACTCTGTGCTTTGAGACTCCACGAGGCCTACCTACCTATGGAAGAGACGTCTCCGTCCAAGCATTATGGGGTACATAGGCGAGCGTCTCCGTGACTGACATCAGTTGCTGCACCTCCATACACGAGAGAATGCGACATTTGCGACCCACGCTATGCTCCCCTACATGCTGTTGACATGCAAGGCAGGCCATGCTCTCCATATTGCTCCATATATGCGCCTAATATGCGAAGACCATGCATTTCCCCCGTGTGCCTGCATGACGCCATGCATATTGCAGACATCATCTGCCCACTAAGTTGAATTGCTGATACAGATACAAAGAATGCCTGCTGTAACTTGCGGAGAAAGAGCGCGTTGTCAAAATGAGCAAGGATGCTTGATTGCCTCTTGAGATGGACGGCACTGTGTTCGTGCCATCTATCTTAAGAATTGACCCTTCTCATTTCGAGTCCTTGCGATAAGTCTTGTTGGTGGATCTATTACTGATTCCTCTCTCCATTCCCACATGTTATTCAAATATCCTCTAATCCATTGAGCCTTCTCAATATTGACACTTTGCAGCAACCCGAAACCCTTCCTCCATCCAGCAACTACCGGTAGCCGATAACAAATACTACCTGCATGGATATGCCGCTTCGTTTCACGTCGCACCTTTGACAGCCACAATTCGCTATCATCCAATATTCCTTGCAGCAGTGATGCTATTGGGTGGCACGAGTGGTCAATAGTAAGCTATAGATAGTCCACCACTTGGAGTAGCTGCAGGACTAATGTAGAGTCTCGGGTGGCGGTTGATTCGGATGCATGGCCCGCACCCGCGTCAAGTGAATGCTACCAAGTTACGTACGATGAAAGTCCCTCCTTTATCGCAAACAAGCGAAACGGTTGATTAAAACCCCGTATTGTGCCCCCCTGCTGTTGTCAAAACGTGGCGGCGCTTTCTTGAAAGCGTACATGTAATAGTAGTACAGGAAGATATCAACAACAGCCTCCAAGAGCAGAGTCCAGCAAGCGGTGTACCCTAGCATATGAAGGAGTCACCATGAATGCCACTGCGCAGCATTTCGATTCTACACCCGTCTCTGCATACGACGGCGGCATTTCTAGCGCGACGGTTACTTAGATTGGCTGGACCCTTGAGCGCCATGCGCAATATAGCTGTACATGCTGTCAACTGTCATAAAGTGACAGGTGAGATGTGGGCTGCAGGGCGAGCCGCAATTGAAGCCAAGCTCAGTCCAACACAAAACAAAAAGAAAAGAAAAACAGAAATTGGAGTTGCAGACGGCACGAGGAGGCTCCGCATTCCTGTTGTGTTTCGTAAAAACTAAGCTTGTATAACGGCCAACAATGCAAGGGGAAGCTTCTATTTTAGCCCATCTTCCTGCAAGGCATACGATGGCTCAGAAAAGAAAAAGCAACGAAAAGCCGATAGCATTGAGAAATGCACGAGCCAACATGCTTGACAGCTGAAGTGACATGCATGCATTCATTCAGCGCTGATGGCTTGTGCTGTCAATCAAGTGCTAGACTAGGCCATGAAACCGCCACATCTGCCGCCCCTTGCAGGCTCATGTGTATATTTGTCTAGAATATCTGATCCTGGTGTTTTCAACTATTCCAAGAAACAGTATATATACGCATTGCTTACTTGAATGTAGTTTCATTAGGCTTGGCCTAAGTAAAGGGCAATAGACTCTGTAAGTCACACATAAAGGATGATAAGCTGGACAGACCGTCATGGCAAACAGAAAACACATACAATCGTGTTGTGGTTCTGCCGCTATGTGATTCCAATCATTCTTAGTTATGTTGACTTGATCTTCCAAACTTCAATAGCAACTGGCAGCTGAATATCTGTACATTCTTACCCTAGACTCTAGCAGCATGTATTAGCTCGATGATGGAATCCTCATGGACGATGCAGAATAACTTGATGTACAGCTGTGTATTACAAATTTCGTTGTAGGAGTCGCACTATTTTTGGCATTATATTGTAAACATCTGGCAGAAGATTGTTCCATTGAGACTAATACATTATATCGTATGCTTTAAACATGTAGTTAGTATGTAGAGACCAAAGCGTTCTCGAATGACACGAGACAGTGCCACAATGTCTTTTTCAACATGGCTTGTAGAGTTGTATTATTCCTCTTCTTCATCTGCAAGTGACGCCTCAGGGTAGATTAAATTGCCCAACTGCTGACGCTTTGGGTCGCTAACCTCACAGCAATCTTAGTCTACCCTGAGGCGTTACTACCTACATGTAATCTAGTCCCACCATTTCCCTCGAGATGATTGAGGTAGTGGCCCCCTCCAGGTAGACTAAAATCGCTGTGAAGATATCTTCTTGCGGCTCGGCGCTTCTCGGTGACGATAACGAGGGCACTGGAATGTCTGAAATTTCCATGAAGGATTTTTGGGCGCTGAGATATGCAAGTTTACTGTCTGTTAAGCAGACCTACATGATTAAAGTGTCACCGGGAAATGTTATCCTCGATAATATCGCTCACTTCGAAATATGTACCAAAGTATTGAATGGCTCTTCTGATGACTCTACTGCTGGTGGGCTATTGATCATCTAAAAGGGGGAAGAGAAGCCCAGCAAGACACATAAGAGGTATATACCTCAAAGCACGGTTAAAAGTTGTCCTTGCAGAATCACATGCTACCGAAGGCATCATTGATTGTGAGTAGCGTTGGCTTTCGGCTACATGAGTTCTTGCAAGATAGGATCCTGTAGTAAATGAAGACGCTATTCCAAGAAGGCAGTGGCGCAATGATGAGTGGCAAGATCTTAAGCTTTCCCGAGGCTAAGATCGAAATTCCCACATATGACTAGCAGATACATATCGTGCATAGAGATAAGATAGCTCTATCTGCATATGGATGTTCATAATCTAACTATTTTTTGAGGTCACTATTTAGGTAAAATTAACAAGGCCCATGTTCAAAGTCTGAGATGTTGCTGATATCAATCTTTTCGCTCTTAGTAAGATGGTCCTCAATAGCAACTTGCCATATATTAGACCTAGAATTGCTATATATCAGTAGTAAAGACAATATGCTACTGCCACTCTGAAATTGATACTGTAGAATGTTTGATCGCTTAATTCAATCTGAGATGGGCCGTTGTGCTCACAAAAACTGTCTTAGACATAGCATATCAGCACAATGACCTTTGCCCCTTGATTAGGTCTGTATATATGTCTGTGCCTACTAGGTATTTACTAATTCCCAGGTACGGGCACGTGCTTGCGGAGCTCATTTGATAGGATGCATGGATCTTTGCAATCGTCTAAGTGATAGCACTTCTATATTAGAGCATTTGTGGTATTTGGCTAATTTTATGTAAATGGGGTCGTCAAATCACCGATTAGAACCATGTGATCACGCAGTTCGAAGTGTCATTAGTAGCTGTCTAATGGCCTAATCAAGAGAAAATTTTCATGTCACATGTATAATTCCAAGGCGATAAAGGGATTGGGCTTTACACTGAAGATCAGTGCAATCTCTTATGCTGATAACGAATGCTGATATGAGCGTCCAGCATACTTTTGTTGTTGTTGGTATCACTGAGGAGTCATGTTACTTTTGAGAGATCAGCTATGTGAAAGATACTTGCTTCCATTAGCCCCATGAGACGGATCAAAAAAAAAAAATATGCTTTGTGAGGCCGCCCTAGCAAGAGTCCCCGCCGTAAGATCGTCTAAGCTACGAGCGACACAAAGATTTTGTCATAGAACTGTGGAAGCTATATACACGTGAGCCTCCTAAATAAGACTGAAAATAAAAGAAAATGCCAAGCCAGCAAGACCCGTGTCTAGCATGACAAGTAAACAAACGATGAGGTCAAACAAGACATTTTCGAGGGGGCAAGAGAATCCAAATCCCTCTGGCATGTGATTGTGGCTGGTGCACTGAAGCTATCCACAAAAAAAGGGACAAACACCAAGCAAGGGTGCGGGTACTAGCACCAGACGTGGATCGATCAAACTTCCGACCTGCAAACTTAATTTGTCCTTGGCTTGGCCTGCCGTGACGGCCTTTTGCAAAACCCTGATCCAAAAGCCCGATCGGCGCGCTCCTCTCATACTAGCAAAGAGAACAAACTCTCGAAATAATACGGAGCGCGGAATATGCTACCCGAGTGTCCCAAATATGCAATACTACGGTGCTACTGTAAGACAGTCTTCGCTGCGCAGCTTCGCGCCGATCCTTTTTGGCCAATGGACCAACAGGCTGGCCAATCACCAGCGTGGCCGAACGCCCGGGCATAGAGAAGAGAGGGACAACGTGCCTCCCAGTCCTCTGGCGTGGGCAAAAAGTTGCCAAGGGATGCAACATCAAGCCGTCTTTCTACACGTGATGGTGAGCTTCCAGGGGTCCTGCCTCTCTCCTCTCCTCTCCTCTCCTCTTTGCTATCTATCTTTCATCTGATGCCGAGAGATACGAGGCAAAGTAAGCATACCTGCCTAGGTATAAACCTAATAAGGGGGACAATGGTAGCATGGCAGGGTAGCCTTGGCGCTCACGCTGTCAAACATGTGTGTGGACTGAAGTCGGCTCAGAATCGCCCCATGGCCGGCTGTTTTTCGTCTCCGTCTTTGCAATGGGTAGAGGTTTTATCCTTTTGTTGTCCACGAGCTAGCCATGAATCGTGCGTGCTGCCTAAAAAAAGGCACACCTGATCTGAAGTGAGATGTGACGCACGAGAGGATGGAGTCAATATATGGGTATTGAGCTCGTGTGCATCTGAATGTGCATGTACATATCTGGATGAATGCTTGAATGCTGATAGATAAGGACAGTATGAACATCGATATCCAGAGGAGCTCTCTCCCAGCAAACACGACCCGCCAACGTGCCGATGCCGCAAGCATTCTCGGGCATGGGATGCACTAGCTGACTGATTATCGATCCCAGGCGATAAGGCGGATGAGGCCCATGTATGTATGTAGGATACAGATGCATGTGCTTGAATCAGTCAGTCTCCCCAGCACAGCTCGAGTAGAGATAGCGCCAACACCGGATGACGGATCAGACGCTTGGCGCACACCGCAACAAGTGCGAGATGTCGCAATTCCGGACGATACGGGATTTTATCTGCACAGGCGGAAACGACGCCTGCTCCGCGCTTGCTCCGCATCAACGAGCAACTCCCAGCGCCTCTAATGCAATATAGCATGTAATGCGATGCATGCAAATGCAGTCCGAGTGTGTGTGCGAGACGGAGCGTCCATTGGACTAAATTCGCTTCTGAGGAGAAGCGCTCCCCTTTGTCCAAAACCGAGCAGACTAAACAGCACACAGATGGTCGGTACGATTTACCCGGACGAGCCGCTAAGAAGGGGACCGCAGCAAAAAGCAAAAAAAAGAGGGAAAATGTAATAAACCAAAAAAACCTTCGTGCTGCTGCGGTTGGCTCAGAACAGCAGCTGGCTGCAGCGAAAAAGCGCTTTCACATGTCGGCCAAAAGTTAGACTGGGGACCCCATGCCAGGCGAGGTGTGGCTAGTGAGCCAATCGCGCAGCCGCTCCACGCTGCAAGCCTCACAGAAGCGTCTCCAGTCCTGCACAGCACAGCGAAAAAGACCCGCCAGCGCTGCTAGAGCTGTTTCGCCGCTTTCACATGCCTTTTTGCTGCTCGTGCATGTCGTGTACGTACCAGTACCGTTCGCGGGAGGGCGCTGCGGCGGCAGGGCCAGGTATCGCAAGTATCTGGCCTGCGCGGCGCTGCGTTATCAATACATCATCCGGGGTGGCGTGCCAGCCATGGCTCAGACCGTGGGCACCCTTGGCTTGGGGAATGCTCGCCGCTACAGTACAAAGTTGCCCGTCTGCCCCGTCCTTATCTACTGCTGTAGCTGCTGCTCACTCCTGGCTCTTTTTTTTTTTGTTTTCTTCCCTTCTTTTTCTCATACCTGCTCTCATCCCTTGCTTCTTGTGTTTATCGGAGCATTGGCTCGTCGTCTCCAGCCTACGTATTTTCTCTTCTCTTCAAAAGCACCCTGAATATCGCGCCGCTCGCCTTGTGCTGTCTCTCACCTGCAATCTCCACCTACAACACCAAGTAAACAGCTTAAACAGCTTATCCTAACATCGCAATGCCTGCCCCCCAAGTCAACGGCGACGTGGCCAGCCATGTCCAATCCGCTTTCCTCCAGGTATGCACGCAATGGACATTTACTTCTTTGATCTCGCGCAATTGCAGAGTGAATTGGCATCGTATCTCGCCCAGGTATTAATAATCCGTTCTATAGCACCTGCTCTCATTCCCCCTAGTCAGCGATGGCGTCCACACCGTCGCGGCCAACGAGTACGCTCAGAGATCGCTCAAGCTCGGCGACTCAGCGTACCAGACTTTTGCCGCCCCCATCATCCCCTACTTTTCTAGACCCCTTGGCCTCGTCTCACCCTATGTCCAAAAGGCCGACTCCTTTGGCGACAAGACCCTGGACCGCATCGAAGAGCGCTTCCCCATCATCAAGAAGCCCACCAATGACCTCTACAACGATACCCGTGGATTGATTCTGCTCCCTTACCAAAAGGGACTCGAGGGCAAGGAGCACGTCTTCCAGGTCTACGCTTCCGAGCTTAAGAAGCTTGAGCAGCAGGGCGTAGTGGCTCAGGGCAAGGCTGCCGTCTCCACGGCCTTTGTTGTTAGCAACGAGACGCTGGCTTGGCTGAGCAGCTTTGTTGCTGTCAAGAAGGGCGAAGCTGCCGATTCTACCAAGGAGAAGATCAACCAGTAGACGACTTGATGGGAGCGGACCATAGAGCGAAAAAGCGCACACATTCTCTGATGACTTGACCAGCTCTCATTTCATTTGTCTTTCCTCTTCTTCTCCAGCTACTTGTCGGCATCGTGTCTGCGCTCTCTGTCGCGTAAACTTCATACATTCGAAACGCGAGTTTTCGATGAAAAGTACCAGGAAAGTGGGCTGATACCGCGTCCCTTTTCAAGACGGATCATCTACGGCGGGTTTCACTGTCGTCACTTTTCTTTTACCCGGTGGCCAAGCTCTGACGCTTATTCTTCACACTACGTTTTCTTTTGGTTGCCTATTCCAACAGGCCATATCAATCATTCAACATCTCTCTCACCCTTTTCAGTATTTACAATGCTATCTCTGAGAATTGGGAATTTTTAGCTAGGATTGGGAAGAGATGGTGGTTGGAGATTGATGTGCCTGTGGAGAGGAAATTCTTTTCTTTTCTTCTTTTTTTTTTTTCCTACGGGACATTAACTCTTCTTTGTTTTGATGTATGGGCACTTATATGGAAGGACGCGAAAAGGGTAGAATACCAATGGGAGTTTGTTTTTGATGAAATTGAACACTCACACTCAACGCCGTCTCACAACCGTCCTACTTGCAGAGGTGATCATGTGATGTTATCTGAAACACGTCTGTGGTACGTAGACATCTTTAGCAAATTCAAGAGGGACATCAAACGCTGAGTAACAATTGCTTAATGTGGAATGTGGATTTTTGAAGTTAAAGTGGGGCTCAAAGGCAACATTGTTAATGTCTTTGGCCGCTGCTGATGTAAAAGTGACTAATTGTGGGCCCAAGCTTGCAAACATTAATTGATCGCGGGAAGAAGCTCTGCGGCAGTGCTTGCGGCAGCTTAAGTGTTGATGATATAAGCTTGTATAATGCGACTTTTTGGCTGGAATCAGAAACTTCTCAACATTTCTTTAAAGCTCTTTAGATAACCCTCCCATTGATTCTTATTTTTAGCTTTTTGAGATCGTTCTATAAAGAGACAGCCCCTTAGCCTTTACTCCCTTTCTCATGAAGGTTTTCCAAATCATCATTGCAATTCTCATTGGATTGTCGTCTACGCTCTTATACCAATACCGCGAAAGCTTCTCCGATTTTGTGAATCTTGCGAAATCTTCAGTGCCAAACCACTACAGCGACCTCTTCAGCAAACCCCCTGCTACTACCGCATTGAACGAGACAGCAGCTGCTTCTGAAGCAATCCCAGAAAACCACTTCCCCACACCAGAGCAACACCTCACAGTCACCGAAATGTCCACCCGTCGAGCCGTCGCCAAGATCGTTCATGCCATTGAACAGGCCGAAGGCGCTGGCGCTCGCGTCCGACGATCCATCGGCACACAACAGCAGCGCAATTTCAGCCCGTTCCTGATGCTTGATCACTTTGCCTCTGCAAACGCTGGCTTTCCCGACCAGTAAGCAACCTTTCAAATCTCATATGATGAAACCAAAAAAACTGACAGCCATCCAAGCCCCCACCGCGGCCAAGAAACAATCACATACCTCCTCGAAGGCGTCGTCGACCACGAAGACTTCGCCGGCAACTCCGGCACCCTCTACCCAGGCGACCTCCAGTTCATGACCGCCGGCCGCGGCATCGTCCACGCCGAGATGCCCCGCAAGCAAACCGACGGCGGCCAAACCGTCGGCCTCCAGCTATGGGTCGACCTGCCCAAGAAGCTCAAGTACTGCGAGCCGCGCTACCGCGATCTGCGCGCCGCCGAGATTCCCAAGGCCGAGGTCGACGAAGGGCGCGTCACTGTTAAAGTCATCTCGGGCCAGAGTCACGGCGTCGACTCCGTCAAGGAGCTGGCTTATACGCCCGTGTGGTTGCTTGACTTCCAGCTACGGCCCGGCGCAACAGTCACCCAGGCTCTTCCTCGGGGGTGGAACGCCTTTGCCTACGTTCTTGACGGAGACGTCACTGTTGGTGAGGGAGCAGAGGCCAAAAAGGCCGAGCAGTATGACAACGTCTTCTTCAAGCAGGAGGGTGATGTAATTCAACTTTCAACCGAGGCCAGCGCCACAAAGGACGCTCGAGTCTGTAAGTTTCACTCCTTCCTTTTAATTCTTGACTCTTGCAGTTCAAAGGCCATTTCGTGCTAACATTTGATCCCAAGTTGTCATTGCGGGCACTCCCCTTGACCAGCCTGTCGTACAATATGGTCCCTTCGTTCTCAACTCGCAGGAGGAGGTCATGCAAACATTTGCCGATTACCAGACCCATGAAAATGGATTTGAGCGTGCCAAGAGCTGGAGGAGCCAAATTGGCGACCGCGTCTACTAAGGCTACCACCGCTTCTTTCTTCTAGACACTCGACATCTTTCTTTAGTCACGCATTGGTGTACTCTGCATATTCTGGCGTTTGGGTTGCGAGCTGGCAGCATATAATTTTATGGGAATAAAGATGCAACTGGGAATACCATGACTCAAGCTTTAGATAGTAATTATACAACTATACAATAACTGATATTCCATCTCACTGTGCATCTACAATACTACTTTGCCTTAGCTTAATCTAGGTACTCATCAGATACATGTCGATGTTTCAAGTGTATGACACGTAATGTTATTGCAAGTTGCACCAAAATTATTTATTAATGTCCTGTATATGAGAGCAAGAGATCCAGCCCGTTTATCTAGGCAATGCCAGATCGGGGTGCCATATCATGGCAAGGAAAACGATAGTCTAAAGACTCTCTCGTCCCACAGGGAAGTAAAAACTGCATTCCGATTCGCCCTGACCCTGAACCTCATTCATTCATCTTTTCCATACCAAATTGCTCTGGTTCATTGCCAGCAATTAATTACCGAATCTTTGATATATTTCTCATGGCCCAATTAAAAAAGAAAAATCAATGATAAACCATATGAGTCATTAACCCTCATTAATCTTCCCATTTCATGTCCATTCACCTTGTTCCTATTTTTCCTTGTCATGAGAGATTGACTCAGCGCCAAATTCCCACGCCGAGCGTGAAAGATGTTTAGTAAGTCGAGGATTATGAGACAATGATAGGGTATTATATATCAAACATGTGCAACGCGAAACATCAAAAAGGGCCATCAGGAAATTAGAGCATGAGCATGGCAAGGCCGGCGGCAGCAATGATGCCAACGGGGCCAGCGGTCTTCTGAGGAACCTGCACAAAATCAAGTTAGAAAATAAGGGATACCAATGTATGGGGAGCCAAAACTTACACCGGCGCCTGTGCTGGTGGAGGTGGTGGAAGCGCTTGAGCTGCCAGTATCAGTTGCAGTGGCTTCGCTCTCAGAGGAGCTGGACTCAGGCTTCGTGACAGTTTCGGTCTCAGTGGCTGAAGCGCTTTCAGTCTCGCCAGTCGTTTTGTGAAGCGTGGTCAGAGTCTTGACGACAGCAGAACCATCGGAAGTCACGGTGCTCAAGACGACACTCTCGGTCTGGTGCGCGCCAGTACCCGTGGCAGTGGCAGAGCCAGACAAAGTCACCTCGCTGGTTTTTGTCTCAACACTGCCGTCAGATTCGGTGACTGTGGTGGCGATGGTAGAAATTTGACCAGAAGCACCAGTACCACTGCTGGCACTTCCTCCGCTCAGGTTGCTGACAGTGGTGGTGGCGATACCAGTAGTAATGGTCTCACCATCAGAAGTGAGAGTGCTGAAGATTGTGGATACTTTGCCAGATGCCTGTTCACCGTCAGTGCTGCTCTCTGCGGTTTACTACTGACAAAGATGGGTAAAGGAAACGTGATAGCAGGAGATGAAGAACTTACGGCAGCAGAATCAGTCAAAACAGCGGTGACAGTTGTCGATGCACCGCTAACAAGGGAGCCAGATGCACTTCCAGTGTTGCTAGCACCGCCATTTCCGCCTCCAGAACTTGTCTGAATCGCAACACCGGCCGCTGTGACGAATGTGAGCAGAAATACCTTAAGACAGGTGGTGAAGGCGACTTAGAAGCACATATGCTGATGCCGTACTCAACAACCTGTCTGGCATCCTCAGCCGAGCAAATAGCTGCAGAGCAGTCTCGGAGGCCGTAAAGGAAGTTTTTGTTGGCACAGAGGCACTTCAGGTCATTCTGCTTGCAGCCCAGCTCATCAGCTTTGTCGGCATCCAGCATGTTAGTGGCGCAGGTTTGCTGGAGAAAGGTCAGTAACGCTTCAAATGGCAAAAGGAGATGCGAATATGATTACTCACACCGCAGGCAGCAAGATTGGGCGAGCCCTGAGCGGCAGCGGCTGCCGCGAAGGTGCAAAGAGCGATAACGACGGACTTCATCTTGGCGTTGATGTTGTCAAAATTTCGAACTGATGTTCTGTTGATGGAGAAGTGGCTGTCAGTAAAGATAACTTGAAGTGATTGTGTGTGTAGCGCGATGAAAGGAGCGACCGTTCAGAACGTGCAAAAATCAAGATTGGCAGTAACCACCAAAAAAAAAAGATCGAAGAGTTGAAAAGTGGCGGATTATCGACGACTGATGGCAGGTTTTAATCAAAGAGGGGAGAACAAAGGCCGTGAAGGAAGAAGGGTAGACTATTGGCAGACAGAGGCAGACAGAGAAGCACCTCAAGCCTTTGTGACAGGCCGTACAAGGGGTTTTGTACGACTTGATCGAGGAGATGAACGGGTGGTGAGGTGGGCTATGAAGAAATTACGGTGTTCCCTCAAACAAGCAACAAAGTCACCCAGCGCTGTAGATGCTCGGGAACTTGGGGAGAGATTCGCGAGAGAGACGGGAAGAGGAAGAAGACGCAGAGAATGCTTGGAGAGAAAGGGCGAGATAGGCGAAGTGGACCAACCTGGGCGATACAGATGCGCAACGAAAGACGAGGCAAACAAAGAACAAAGAGTGGCGATAGGGCGACGAGGCGACGAGGCGACTTGGAAGAGCTGAACTCTTGGTGAATTGACTGAAAGCCGTGATCGTGGATGAGGGAAGTACTGAGAGAGCTGAGGAGGGCAGAGATGGAGGAGATGAATGTGCGAGAGGCAGTGGCAGAAAGAGAGCCCAAACACCTGGCAAGAGCTGAGCCGGTGAGGAGGGCCTGGAGCTTTAAGAAGTCGGGAAAGAGTAGAGCACCTGCAGGTAGGAGGTACCTCGCCCTGCCTTTGACTTGCCGCCCTTTTCCATGTACCTGATTTGTAGTGCCTGCCGTCACCTGAACCTCTCGGCACTCGCCAGCTGGCAGATTGGCTTGATCAACGTCATTAACAGCAGAAGCTGCGATTCTTGCTGCCAGGGGTGAGCGGAGTGACGAGGTCTGTGCGACGCCCTCTTTCGAATACAGATCGGTTACTGGGCCATGCAGGATACGATAAAGCGAGTGTGTTAGCAGTATCATAGACGGGTGCGCTCATCTGCTATCTGGCGGTACGCGCTCGAGCATCTTGAACGTTGCTCAAGTCTGCCTAGATGCGCAAGCAGTGAAGGGTAAGACAGCGCTTGTTGAGTCCAATTTGGATGTTTTCAGAAGATGAGGTATGGAGTAGCTGTTGGTGGGGACTGTCACGACACATCAAAGAAGAATCGAATCGCCAGCGTGCGCGGCTGTATTTCTCAGAGCACTTGCAAGCTTGTTGCTGTTGGTACTCGCATTGCCTCTCCTACCGCCTTGTCCCCTTGCATATCGTACGATCTCAGAGGCAAGCTCAAGTCTTGATTTGGGCACCTGTGCTCGGCTTTCAGAGACCAGGAGCTACAGTATGTGCAAGTCGGAATGACGGCATCATCCACCGCATGCTACTTTAGCAGCACCCGCTAGTCTGGCGTTTAGCAGCTATTGTCCGACCCTGGCAGAGCTGAAGACTGCCGACGATGCGTGGCTGGGACTGCTAAAAGCGGCTGGTTGATCGCGTCGGCCCAGCTGGATTGACTGCTCTTAGGCACTGGCGGTGCATTTTAGCTCATTTTAGCTAGAAAACGTGCACCCTAGCAGGTGGCAACTAGCGGCGCCACCAGCGATCAAGGTGCCCTCCCTCCCCTCCATCTCGCAAGGATCCGATAGTTGTAATTCTACGCTTCTTGACGCTGAATTTTCTCTTCCGACTAGATGTACATGAAGTTCATGATTGTCCCAGCGAATCCAATGCTTTTTTCGTCTTTTGGATAATCGCTTAGCTCTCTCAGTATCGTCTTCTGCAGTGCCATACTCCATCTTTACGCAGGATACAAGCATGTCTCATATCAACCTCGGATCATCCAATCCAATCCTGCCAACAGGCCTCCATTGGAAACAAAAAACTAGAAACTAAGCGGACCCCACCCCAGCATCATCGGTCCGGGCAGTCAAGATCGGACATTGGAGTAACTCTAGCTTGCATCTCCGTGATTCGCTCACACAATAGTTTTGAATCAGGACCACGCGTTTTGCCAAGTGGCTAGTTGCAGTAGGAGCACGGATTGGATGAGGCATTGCCTATGCTTGCTTCCTATGCTATGCCACCCATCTATCAAAGTACTCGACGGCATTGTTCCGAGACTCTACTTCACTCATCCTGGTCCTATTTCGTCTGGCTGACCTCATCATGTTGGTCACTGCAGTCATAGACTCAAGCAGGACAAATCAGGCCTACGTCACCTTTCAATGCGTGAGCAATATTTGGCCTTCTATTGGATGTCAAGTATTCAAAACCTTGAGCCACTACTGATGTTGAACAACAATGCTACCTGATTAACATGCTACACGATGCTACTTTCAGGCCCTCCTCGTTGCTCATTGCCTGGCCACTCAGCAAAATAGAATCACTGGCCTCATTTTCTCTAGTATTCTTCGGCTATACGATCATTTCCTTCTTACTATACAGACACTAAAATACAGCCTAGATCCTTGGCAAGCGACTACTGAGCCAGAAGATCCTCAAACGAAGCAATCTCCTTGTCTAGCCGCTCCAACAAAAGTTCGGTGTCTCTGTGCGACGTTGCTGTCGCCACGGCGCTTCGAAATTCCTTGGCAGCCTTCATATACTCATCAGCATCTTTCTTCTTCTGATCATTTCCGGCTTTTACTCCTCGCTGCCGACCTGTGGGATGACGAACCACCATTTTGCCTCGTTCACTTATCCAAAAACATTGGCCTGCACAGATATCGCGGGCGAACGGTGCAAGGTCAATTAGAGAATGACTCTTGGCAGCGCTGCCTGACCCAGTTGCCGCTGAGTATTGTTTCATCCATTGACAAATATCCATGCCGTCCTTGACCGCCCGCAAAGACTCCAATTCAATTCGATGAGCAGCCATTTCTGTCTCAAAGGGACCTCCATCTCGCATACCGTAACGAGAGACGCAAGCTTCGACCTGCAAGTAACAGTTTATTTCCAAAAGCCAAAGGAGAGAGCAGTGTAATGGCTGGATGAAATTAGACTTTGATGACTCATTGCCAGCGGGTGGTATCAGTTTGCCTTTACTATTTCTCTTCCTACGAAGATGGACCGGGCATTCGAGATTGTGCCAATGGTCGAGCCTTTCATACATATTAATTGCGTCTTGAGGCTTAATTCCATTTCGTTTTGTGCTGACAGTCACAAAAACCTGCAGCATCTCTCTCGCAGTAATGGCCAGGCTGAGAATGGCATCGAGATAGCTTCCGGTATCATGGTGCGGCAGTTTTCGTGATATGCCCTCATTTTCTCCATCTGGAATCCTGGAGATGAGGTTCTGGTCTAGGCTATGAAACGCATCAAATCCGTACACATGCCAGAAAAGAAGCCTACGACGCTCCTCTGAGCGCGCAAGCGGACCTAGCGGGTCTGTATTTCCTGCATCGCAGTCTTGCATCTGCGACTGTAGTGCAGCAAGGACAAGTGATTCGTGTGTTAAGAAAAGGTTTCCCAACTGTGTATCGAGGGGCGAGCTTCTTGCTTCATCGTATACCCAATTGGTCATGATAGCCAGCGCCTCAAGATCGTCGAGACGTATAACTGATTTACCAATTGCTTGCTGTCGAGCTTCCAAGAAACTTTGTCTAAACTTCAAGGCTAAGCATTGTTGCTTGTCCCAGCTATCCGAAGCAGCTGTGAAAATGATTCCTCGACAAGCAACGGCATATACCAGAGCAGAACTGCATCTCCCGGCGTGATAATCCTTCCAGAAAGCATCTTCCATGATCACGGGGAGATGAACGGCGGCCAAGTCAAAGTAAGCATGCAGTGCGGCATCGAATGTCGTTTTGTTAAGATTGCATTCAACCCAGAGTTTCTGATGAGCGCTGCCAGCTAAGGCTTCAGCAGACGATCCGCCTTCAGTGTTACGAGAAGTCTGTTCTCCTCCCACCGGAAGCTGGAGGTCGGGGTCTATCGCTATTTGTGGCTCATGGTACTCTGTTGATCCTTCATGATCGCCGCCCATGAAGATTTGGTCCAAGAAAAAAATGCTTTCCGGGCTGAGTTCGAAAGGGGTGTTGATGAAAGAGAAGTCCGGCGTCTGGTCCACCGATGAGGGGATGCTATCTTCTGTATCTGGCGGGAAGTAGGATGACAATGGCTGCTGAAGCCTCTCTTGGGATATCGTTTGCGTTTCTCCGCCATATATAGGGGGTAGTAGGTTCGAATTATTGAGATTCTGAGCGTCTCCATCGCGGTTACTTAGTCTTCGCCGTCTGCGGAGACGAATATCGTCCGAATCATCGAGAATACACTGAATTTGGCGCAAAGAACAAGGAGAGCAGGAAGGCTGACCTTGCTTTTCCCGTAAAGCCCGATCGCATTTGATCTTGCGGCGATGACAGAAGTCGCAGGACGCCCGCTCAGCGCCGCGTTTCAGCCGCATGATTTAAAACAAGCAGTCTCCGCGGTACAAATGAACAGATATTATTTGCAGACGGAGATTCATAGCTGGGCGTGGTGGCTCTTTAAAGGAGCAATTCCGTTTGCTTGACTTGTGGCTTGGACGTTGACGGAAGCAAAGCGGAGACTTAGCGGCGATTAGACGGCAGTTTTGTGGTAGATTTTACATACCGTAGCGATAGATAAAGAGCACGAATCACTCAATTGAACAGTATTTTGATGTTGCCATGCCTCATCCATACTTTTGTATTCTTTTTAATTCTTCTTGTTCTAATACAAGTTTTATGAAATGTTACTCATGAATTCTACCGCAAATAGCACCAGCCAAATCCCCCCCAATGGCATCGGCGCCGTATCTTTCACACCACTCCTTGCGCCAAATGCTCTTTTCGTCACATTATTCACCATTCTTTTTACTATTCAAATCATCCTGAACATTAAATTCTGGCGGTTTTACGGCTATGCTACCGGCATGTTGGGCGGTCTCCTCTTAGAGATGCTAGGATACGTCGCCAAAGTCCAACTCTCCCATAATCGAGCCAACAAGAACGGATATATCATGTACGCTTCCAAAGCTCCATCATCGTTCATCAATTTTGCCAATAAATTTTTTTTTTTTTTTGGGCTCTGACAAGGCTTCTTTCTAGGTACATCATTGGCCTCACCCTCGGCCCTACCTTTCTGTCTTCTTCCCTGTATCTCGGTATAAGCACCTTGCAAAGACACTACAAATCAGCCCGCCTCGCACGCATCAGCCCTCGGCTCTTTGCCTCTCTCTTCATCCTCGGCGACTTCATATGCCTTTGTTTCATCGGTTGTGGAGGCTCTCTTGCCGCGATATTCGACACGAACCCCATAGGCGTCGATCTTATGATTGCAGGACTCGCAACACAAGTCTTGTTCACGGCAATTTTCTGCCTTCTCCTCGCCATAGTATGCTTCAAGATACACAAACAGCTTGCCGAGGACAAGAAGTTGGCATACATTGTTGGTAGGCGGCGCTATATCCCTCCACTGGCTTGTTATGCCGAAGTCTAACGTCTCCTCTTCTTCTACGTTAGGCACAGCAGTAGCTGCCGTTTGTCTTTTTATACGGTCCTGCTGGCGTGTTGCAGAGCTCAATGGAGGTTTCAACGGCCCCCTGTCCTCAAAAGAGGGTCTTTTCATCGCATTAGACTCCATTCCCATGGTTCTCATGTCAGTTCTCTTGACAGTAATACACCCAGAGTTTTGGTTCGACAACGGTCGCCCTCTCTCTGGGAAAGTAACCGAGGAAGGGCTTGAAGTACACATTAAAGTCTGACCTGATCTGTTCAGCATGGACTGTAGAGTTGGAGTAACTGTGATTAATAAGCCGACATTTCAAGGCAAGATACCTTAATCTAAGCACAACAAGGCGTTTCCCACAATGAAGACGACACAGGATACATCGAAGATGAATTGAATCAAGCAACAACACCTTGCAGTATGCAACTCGAATTACGTAGGCAGCACTAAGGCCATACGATCATTAAGCAATACAATAAGACATACTTCAACCCGTAGGAATACATTATTTCATTCTAATATTGTGCCTCTATGCTATTAACAACTGCACTAGAAAGCACGCAAAATTCGTAGTTACCAACGTAAATAACATGTAACATGTCGCAAGCGTAAGAAAAATCCATAATAGTCCAAAACACATTAAACATCCAGTGTGAGTTCCGTCGGACTCTTGAATCCGACGCCCACCATGCACAAACCCTAAAACATTTATTTAATCTTCGTTTCCGTTGCCAGTTTTGTTGTATATGCTCGATCAATTGATCAGCTCTGCGATCATCTCCCTTCTCTCCAGCACTCGTACACGTCACCATCACGGCTGACTGGTATCTCTTTAACCACTGCACATAACGCAGGACTCGGGGTTTTCAATGCTGCCTAAAAAGGAATCAGAATACACGTATTTCGTCAAGGAATAAGGTCATGGGTAACTTACAGGCTAGAACAGCATCCGAGTAAATGTCCCTCTCGCGCTCCTCGCTATTATCGTTCTTGTCTTCCGTCTGGTCGGGCTTCTTGCTCAGCTCCTCCTCCTTGACAGCATCTGAAGGCTCCGTAGGGAGTACCTTGGGGCTGTCGCCTTCATCGATGTCAGCCTTCATAGGAGGAGCTTTGTGGGGCGAAGCCAAAGGTCTGCCCAGAGGGGGAGGCGTGGTAGTGGGAGTAGGAATACCAGTAGAACTCAATGAGTTTCCAGAGACGTCGTCCTTCTTAGCGTTGCTAAGTCTAGGAACGGCAGTGGCTGAAGTCATTGAAAAGGAGGAACCTGGAGGAGGAGCGCGCTTCTTCAGAACACGATCCTTGCTGACGTTGGCATCAGCAACCTTGAGTGCCTCTTGATCAACTGTGAACTGGATAGGTGCAGCCGCGGCCTGGGTACGTAGGTAGTACATGCCAGTCTTGAGACCAAGCTTCCAGCCAGTGAAGTGCATGCTGGTGATCTTGCCCATTGTGGGATCCTTCATGTGAATGTTCAAGGACTGGGACTGGTCAATGAAAGCACCACGGTCGGCTGACATCTGGACGATGTGACGCTGAGAGATCTCCCAAACAGTCTTGTACAGGGCCTTGATGTCGGCGGGAATGTTGGGAATGTTCTGGATAGAACCGTTCTCAGCAATGATGCGGTTCTTCATAGCATCGGACCAGAGGCCAGTATCGACAAGATCCTTGAGAAGCCAGGGGTTGACAACCTGGAACTCGCCAGCAAGGACACGTCGCTGGTAGATGTTGGAGGTGTAGGGCTCGAAGCATTCATTGTTGCCTAGGATCTGGGAAGTGCTGGCAGTGGGCATGGGGGCGACGAGCAAACTGTTGCGAATACCGTGCTCCTTGATTTGCTCCTTGAGGGAGTCCCACTCCCAGAGGTCAGTGGGCTTGACGTCCCACAAGTCAAACTGGAGAATGCCTTCAGAGGCGGGTGATCCCTTGAATGACTCATAGGGACCCTCGATCTTGGCAATCTCCATGGATGCCTCAAGGGCAGCGTGGTAGATAGTCTCAAAGATTTGCTTGTTCAACTCGCGAGCTTCGGGTGATTCGAAGGGAAGACGCAGAGCGAGGAAAGCGTCAGCAAGACCCTGGACACCGACACCAATGGGTCGGTGGCGGCTGTTGCTGTTGCGAGCCTCCTGAACGGGGTAGTAGTTCACATCGATGATGCGGTTGAGGTTACGGACAACCACCTTGGTAACGTCGTGAAGCTTCTTGAAGTCATAGCAGCCTTCGTTATAGTCGACAAATGCAGGGAGAGCCAAAGAGGCCAAGTTGCAGACAGCGACCTCGTCAGGGGCAGAGTACTCAATGATCTCGGTGCAGAGGTTGGAGCTGCGGATGGTTCCCAGGTTCTTCTGGTTGCTCTTACGGTTGCAAGCATCCTTGTAAAGCATGAAGGGGTTGCCAGTCTCAGTCTGGGCCTCTAGGATAGAGTACCACAGCTTCTGAGCTCGGATAGTCTTGCGACCCTTTCCTTCCTTCTCATACTTCTCATACAGCGCCTCGAATTCTTCGCCATAGCAGTCAGCAAGGCCAGGGCATTCGTTAGGGCACATCAAAGTCCAGTCCAAGTTCTTCTCAACACGCTTCATGAACAGATCAGGGATCCAGAGAGCGAGGAACAGGTCACGGGCACGGACCTCTTCCTTGCCGTGGTTCTTGCGGAGGTCAAGGAACTCAAAAACATCAGCGTGCCAAGGCTCGAGGTAGATGGCAAAGGCTCCAGGGCGCTTGTTGCCACCCTGGTCGACGTATCTGGCAGTGTTGTTGAAGACTCGAAGCATGGGGATGATACCGTTGGAGGTACCGTTGGTGCCGGCAATGTAAGAGCCCGTGGCACGGATACGGTGGACGTTCAGGCCGATACCACCAGCCATCTTGGAAATCATGGCACATGTCTTCAAAGTGTCGTAGATACCCTCAATGCTGTCGTCCTTCATGTCCACCAGGAAGCATGAGGACAGCTGAGCTTGCGGGGTACCAGCGTTGAAGAGAGTGGGGGAGGCATGGGTAAAGAACTTGCTGGACATGAGGTGGTATGTCTCAAGGACACGCTCAATGTTGTCTCCCCAAACGCCAACAGCCACACGCATAATCATGTGCTGTGGTCGCTCAACAATCTTGCCATCAAGTTTCAGGAGATATGATCGCTCCAGTGTCTTGAAGCCGAAGTATTGGTAGTTGAAGTCTCGGTCGTAGACAATGGCAGAGTCAAGCTCTTCCTTGTGTCTCATGACGCACTCGTATGTATCTTTGGAGATCATAGGCGAGGCTTTGCTGTTCTTGGGGTTGACATAGTGGTACAGGTCGCTGACGACAGCAGACCACTGCTTCTTGGTTTGTTTGTGGAGGTTGGAGACGGCAATGCGGGCAGCCAGAATAGCATAGTCGGGATGGGTAACGGTCATGTACGCGGCAGTCTCGGCAGCCTATTCTATACGTTAACGGCTTGACTTCTTTATTACGGGTTATAGAGCTTGACTTACAAGGTCATCAAGCTGTACTGTTGTGACGCCTCCATAGACACCAGAGATGACCTTCTGGGTAATGGCCACAGGGTCGACATGGTCAGTGTCCAAGCCGTAACACAGTCGTGAAACACGAGCCGTGATCTTGTCAAACTGGACACGCTCCTGACGACCGTCTATCCATGGATTAGAAGGGTTTACAAAGACGCAATCTCAATCAAAGTGCGTGCAGGTGGGGATACATACCACGCTTCCTCACATACATGGCGGCGGCGTGGGATGGCGAAGAAGTGGTGCGGGAGAGAAAGAATGACGAGGGCTATGACGATTCAAGGCTCTCAGACGCTCACAGGTATCAGTCAAGACACGCAGGAAGTCGAACAGAGCTTTGGCGGCTTCGAAATGAATCGAGGCCTTGGGATGTTTTGTTTGCAGAGGAGGAAAAGAGTTGCTCGTGAACTTCTCAGACGGCGGGACAGACGGTTTTATTCTACGGCGCGTCTCCAGCACGCGCCACGCCAGCTCTTAGCGTGTAAACTATAGCTGTGGTACGCTCAAAATTTAATTGAAAAAAAAGTTGCCCCGCGCTGGCACATTCCAGTGGCTCTGTGGCCAGTCAAGCGCGAGAACGGCGCAAAGGGTCCAACAAACCACTTCCTCATTGGATCTCCTTAAGCCGAATTGGGTTTCAAAACAGATACGTACCAAGCTTTTGGGAAGGATTAAGTCATCATTGAAAAACACTTGAAACGGAGTCACAGCTCAAGGTCTGTTTTGGTGGATACGCGAACCCATGGCGCGTGGATTGGTCATCGAGTTTCTCAACGATGTCGCGGAATCACGTGCCATACTGAAGACTTTAATGTGGTGTTTTCACGTTACTAAGCAGATTTGAGAAGTCATTTTGCCATACGCTTTGAACTAGGCGATTCTTACAACGGAAAGAGAGGAAGTTGTGCGCAAGTTTACTACTATTGCTGCTTCATATCACATATATGAAGATTCTGTATATATGTCTATGATTCTAGGGAGGGCCCGCCATCTTGTACCACGCCATTACACTGCAGCCATCTCTCGTGTCTCGGTATTTTCCACCATGAGTGCCCCGCAGCCCAGCCCAGCGCCGGGATCAGAGACTTATAAGCCCCGATATATCGATGTAATTACTTCGTCTTTCTAATCCAGTCCCCACTATGTTGCCCTCCAGTTGCTGATGTTGGCTAGTAAAGATAGGAATCAACCTAGCCGACCCCATATTCAGGGGCAAGCATCGTGGCGTTCAGCGACATCCGGATGATCTCAAGGATGTCATCGGAAGAGCCAAGGAGGTGGGGTGTACCAAGCTCATCGTAACGGGCTCTGACTTCACAAGCTCGCGAGACTCTTTAGAGCTAGCAAAAGAATTCCGTTGGTAGGCCCTTTTACTAGTAGTAACGATCATAAGCTGAACGAGTCCATTTAGCTGGAACTTGCTTCGCTACCGCTGGCATTCACCCCTGCAGCAGCGCCATATTTTGCAAAGGAGGCCACGGGAGACATGAGGAACATACCACCCCCTGTGAACCTGAAGATCCAGAAGAGACCGCACACCAGGGCGAGCCAGATGCAGAAACTTCGGCAAAGGTGATTGAGCGATTCACAGCCTTCCTCGCCGATGCTAGATCGTCTGGCGAAGGGCATCTGGTTGCCGTGGGAGAGTTTGGTCTTGATTATGACCGGCTGAACTTTTGCAGCAAAGCTGCTCAGTTGCACTCTTTTGAAGCCCAGCTGAAAGTTGTGGCCTCCCTGCAGCCTCAATTGCCGCTCTTTCTCCACTCCCGAGCCGCTCATCGCGACTTTGTAGACCTTCTGAAAGGGGCTTTTGGCGAGAAGCTCGAAAGGCTAGAAAAGGGCGGCGTGGTACACAGCTTCACGGGCACCATTGAAGAGATGAAGGAGTTGATGGAACTGGGTCTGCATATTGGTGTCAACGGCTGCAGTCTCAAGACGGAAGAAAACCTGGCCATGGTCAAAGAGGTCACTCTTGACAGAATCATGCTCGAAACAGATGGTCCTTGGTGTGAAGTGCGGGCCAGCCATGCTGGATACCAATATCTGATAGAGAAAAAGCCTGAGCCAGAACAACCAGCTCCGAATGGTGATGCTCAGCCGCAACCAAAGCAGCCAAAGAAACAGAAGAACCAAAAGAAGGAGCCCGAGGTGCCGGACCGCTTCAAGATTGTGAAGAAGGAGAAGTGGCAAGAGGGGGCAATGGTTAAAGGCCGCAACGAACCATGCACCATTGAGCGAGTTGCTAAAATCGTTGCCGCCGTTAAAGGGGTAACCATCGAGGAGCTTTGCGAGGCGTCTTGGAATAACACAGTAAGCGTTTTTGGACTTGGTGAAAGAAACTAGACTATCATGATTCATCGTAATGGGTATCAAGCGCATAGAAAGAGCAGTATACAGTACATCCAAAAAAAAGACAAGAACGTTAGAGACCACGTCATAATCCCGAGCCCTTGTTGCCCCGTATCCGCCCATGCCTTACAACGCCCACAGTAACGCCGTCTTCACCAGTCATCCAGCCGGGCATACGCTCACCGTCCACAATGCCGGCTTCAACAAGCTGTCGAATACCGGCAAAGACGTGGTTCCCCTGGAATGTAACCTGGACTGTTGGCCGCCACTGTGAAGGGTTCTCCGGCTCATTCAACTCTTCGTCGCCATCAGCAGCTTGGCGAAGCGCAGCATCAATTGTTCTTCTCCGGGCTGAAATTGAAGGCTCTCCGGGAGCATTGGTCTGCTCTTCGTCTTGTCCTTGGGCCTCTGCGGCGGCGGCGGCGGCGGCTGCAGGGAAAGGGTCTTTGAGTAAGATGTCAACCCTTTCGATGCCTTTCCCATCGGCGACGAGGCCAGAGTCACCGAATCGCGCTTTGGCAACTAGTTTGGCTTTTTTAGCAGCGCGTTGATTTTGATCTAGCGGCTTCAGCCTCTTTCGATTCTGATCAGAGAGGGAGGAGTCTCTTGAAAGTGGAGGGCTGGGGAGGATGGCGTCAAGAGGAGATTTCTTGTTTTTCTCGGAGGCGTAGACGCTCCAACCGCCTCCAGCGGCATTTCCTCGCCCAGGTCCTCTTTTATCCAACAACGTTTCCAAATTTCTGCTTGTCAGACTTGTTGGAGTAAGAGTATATCGTTCCCTTGGTCGAGAAAGTGCTTTCGGTACTCCATGGACAATCAAGTTCTGGAGGCTTCTCGATTCGCCCGCAGCGGTCGGGCCGTTGGATTGAGATTTAGTTATATAGATGTGAGATGAACCATCGGGGAACGCGAGATACACCGTCCGAGACGAGGTGAAATTAGTAGTACCAGATAGAGCCAGGCTGCTGTTGTACGGGGATTCTATAACGAAGATGCGCAATAGCAAGACTGGAAGATCCTTGGGTCGATGAAAATGATAGTGCGCCTTGATATCTGGCAAAACTTGGTCTTGGAGGCTTTGTAGAAACGTTGACGGGTGGAAGCGAGGAACATTCAACGCTTTATCGTCGACCTGAAGGACCTCGTCGTCGGCACCTTGCGTTGGAGGCTTCAGCGGCAGGATCTTGTAGGCCGTCCATTTTTGTGACATTGGGTGTTCTTCTAGATAGTAGAAGTCGACCATTGCGAGCTGATATAATGATAGCCCATGCCTCCAATCCCCCTCTAGTATGCGATTGGCTACATCGCGCTTGGATCCCTTTTGCTGCTGCATTGCCGCATAGTACTCATACAGCTCCTGGACCGACCCACATGCAGGATAGAGATCATCCAAGTCAATTTCATCGTCGTCGCCCCGTCTCTCTAGGTAAGGTATCGCATTGGCAATAGAATCGCCGTCAAGCCAGCTGATGGCCAGGGAAATGAGGGCCTCACGGGAAAGTCGGCCCAGGCTCTTTACCACGGCTGGGTTTGTAGAATCAACACGCAGCGAAGAAGGCAACCTGGCCTTTGTCGGTACCGAGAACCGGGCCATTTTTAGTTTGTTGTGAGAATCTCTATAACCAGGCAGTTCGAGAAAAGGCCTGCGATATCGCCCTACATGACTACTATCACAAGGTTGAAGAGGTGATTAGAGAGTGACAAGATACATGTAGATGAAAACAAGGCTGAATAAATGCCCCGCTGAGAAGTCAACCAGACGCGGCCAACTCGGTGAGACGCGTTGTAAAAGACTGTGGGTCAAGCTTAGTCAGCATTGATGATCAACTCGCAACTTCAACGTCCATCGCTTGCGCCGTATATCGTTTCGCCTCGCGAAATCCGACTTTAAATATGGTGAAATGCACCTTGTTTAGTTCCGAATACTATTCTATAGTATGAAAGGCGTACTTGAATACTCAAGATCCCACAGTACAAGGCTCGCAGCCAATTTCGGGGCCCACAGCCAAAGTCGAGTTTGCGAGGTCGGACGGCAAAATCGACTTTAGCTGCGGATCTTGGTAAGTAATCAGGTATCTTCTGTAAATATACACATTTAACGCGTACGATCGAGTAATAATAGGTATGTGGTGCCTGTAATTCTATGATGCCCGCAGCCAAAGTCGAGTTGGGGTTCGACCTCGCAAACTCGACTTTGGCTGTGAATCTTGGTAAGCAGACATGTATCCTGTGTTAAAACATGCATAGAAAATGACGATACCACGTAACAGCATTTACCAAGAATTCTATCAGGCCGGCCAAAGGCCCACAGTCAAAGTCGAGTTTGCGAGGTCCTAGGTAATAAATTACGCTTTTCTGACTATAAAACAATATTTGAATTAAACAACATGAAAGTATATTACTTCAGAGGACTCAACGTCGAATCTTGCTGGGGGGTACGGTATTACCCTGTAGATTAAGGATCATCACGGATAATATAATACCGGTCCATGAGAAAAGAGAGAGAGAAGGAAAAGGTCTACCATGGCCATCCATGGAAACCTGGCTATGCGTACTATTTTATCCCCACTGACCGCAGCGCTCTTCATCATATTCGGGGGAATGTCCGTATATATGTTCCTTCAATCGTCCTCTCCTTACAGGTTCCAAAAGAGAATTTCCCATTCTTTGACTAATTACCGCCGCTTAGTTATAAAGCAGGAACAGACGAAGATTTGACAGCTCCGTGTTCTTTGTGTCACAATGACAGTAAAGACACTGGATTAAGAGTTTCGCGTACAGTTGATTCGAATAAGCTCGGTTGAATCGCAGCGCCAAATCTATTGCAATACTCAGCGGTCATTCTCCAACACAGTTAGGAGGAAGTAAACCTCTTTTACTCACCCATGGCATTTCATGGCCACCAGTAGTTTTTCAGCCAGCCTGTTAAGGTTCTGTATCTCAAACCCGCCAAAGTGAGGCTGGTGCCGGATATAATGCCACGCCTGGATCGGTGTCACGTCGCCATCCTCTGCTACGGTGGGTGCAAGGTTTAACAAGCGATCAAGCACAGCGGCGGGGGCTTGCTGGTACGGCGGAGGCTTGGGATTCTGTGGATCAATGGGAGGCAGAGACAGGGCGGATTGAAGTTGAACCGTGGCAGTCAAAGCATGACCACCAGGTTCACTAGGCTTTTTGGGATTTCCGTGTACATGGCCCAGACAAGGCCTTTCTAGTCTTTATCACCGTGCAATTAGCATTTCCTTCACATATATATATATGTGCGAAAAGGAAGAAAAAGCATACGTCAATACAAACTCCATGCCAACTGTCGTGACATCAAGGTCGGAAAGGTGAGTCTTGTCACTGGGCTCAGCTGAGAGAGTTATGGTGGCCGTGGACACTGGAGGCAGCGGTCTTCTGAAGAATCTTGAGCCATGATGCCGCAAACCAAAAACATCACTGCTCGAAGGGCTGCTTTGGTTCGCCGGTTTGCTCGCAGAGTCTAGTTGTAACTCCTCTAGGGGTCTGATAGCCGTTTGCGCTTGTTCATTTGCCGGGCTGCTATCATTCGTATATGGGGTATAACTGTGGGATATCTCCTCAGCAAACTCAGGTGGGAGGGATATGCCGTTTTGTGACAGAAGAGTAGTCAGTAAATGGACTCTTGCACGAAGCTGCTGAACCTCAGACGCCAGGCCGGCTTCATTCCTCCGAGAGCGTGCTAGTTCAGCCTCAAGAGCCTTGGTGTACTTGTCTTTCCGGTCCCGATACGATCTATAGATAAGGGTCAACGGCGTTTTGGGGGAGAACTCCGTACCAGGGCTGATACTCACTGCTGGGCGCGCCTCAGCTGGGCGCGTCTCTTCTCGACGGGATCGCCCTTTGGCTCTGTTGTTCTTCGTCAGCAAATGCTTCCGTACATTAGTCATGCTCATCGGGGCTGGAGATCAGAGCCCCAGCCTCCAGGTCTGACCAACCTCTCGGGTTGAAGATGCGGAATATCCTGTCGCCCATTGTGGCATACACGAACGTCGATGTGCTATTGCTGCTAGCACTATGGAGTAATCGCGACAGCCCGAGTTAGTCTGTTGTGCCTAATTGGATGAATGAAGCTGGCAGATGCGGAATCCTAGGTATCTGGTGAGACGCTGCAGACACGATACGCACTGGCTCATCAGGGGCTTGACGGGCGTCTCCATTTCCAAAATAGGCTAGACATCGTCGACATAGTATGGATTACTGCTGCCCTTATATTCGGCAAATGTCACGCTTTTGAACGCGGGCGTGTTTTAAGGCCGAGATGTCTAGCAGCAGGATTCAATTGCTGCAGCTGTACAACAGTCCTCGTACTACACCTGGAGGTACATGGAGATACGGCTATGTCTTTCCGAGAGACGTCACCAGCTCCATCAACGGGCATATATCATGGAATTGCTCCGTAATGCTAGCGCTAGCGCTGGTTCCTGGCTAAATGCATCCAAAGCTGTAGGGCTACGATATTGTACATGGAGCAATCTCTCAAATCGAGTAGCCAGGTACCCGAGAGTGTTTTCCAGGTTCCTGGGGCGCCGCGCAAGATTGTTGTCTAAATCCATCCAATCTTAATCGTCTGACCATATTACCGCCCCTGCGCCAAAATGAGTTTCTGTTCCTGAGTTTCTTCCGAAACAAGCAAGACAGAGAGCCTCCTAGCTCGCTGTAACACGCCCGCCGCGCCCCGTCTTCAAAAGCTCTACCCCGTAAACATCTGCATGGGTCCCCGAAGTAAGCTTGTTCTGCATCGCGGTCGTGCACGCTATGCCCAAACAGGCAATTCTGATGATCTCCAACTGTCGAGTTGGAAAAGATTCCTCATGAGGGGGTATGTGCTGAAGGAGGCTTCTTGTCTCTGGCGCAGTTTGATATTACGGTTCATCGGCACGAAGCGTGGATTTTGGCAAATGAAACTGTTATCTAGTTGCCTTGAATCGAAATTGTTGAGCGGAAACTCGGCAACGGCGAGGGAATGGTTACCTAGATAGGGTCCATAGGGAGATATCGCGAGGAGAGAGAAATATATAAAGAGGCAACGAAGTGGACAGAAGTTGCAAGTTTTTCTCGTCAATCAACCAAGTTTCCAACTCTTCATTCATACTTGAACCCATACAATCAATCCGAGAACTCGCCAGTCGATTCTCTTGGCTATCAGCTTGCAGTCTAGCTTGTATCTATTTTCATCCCATCAGTTACTCAATTCGTTCACCTCTGCCAATCAGACGCCACAATGCATTCTTCTTCCTGGAAGTCTTTGCTTGTCCTAGGGCTGACATCGCTGGCAACCGAATCAGCGGCAGCACCAACATCTTGCCCTCCGCCCAATGTCAAGCCCGGAAGGGCTATTTATATCACAAGCAACCAGCAGCAGAATAGCATCATTGCTCTGCCAATCGGTCGCAACGGACAGCTATCTGCTGGCACGCTTACCTCGACGGGTGGCTCAGGCTCAAGCATCTTGAACCAGAATGGCAACGTGAAGACGCCTGCCACCGCTGATGTGTTGTCCTCTCAGTCGGCCGTGACTGTGGCTGACAATGTATGTATACACACTTGATTATATGTGGCTGATCTCACCGCCAAAGAGCCTCTTGCTAACGTATCGTGCTACTGAAATAGTATTTGTTTGCCGTCAATGCCGGATCCAATACCGTCTCCATGTTTGCGATCGATCCGTTGAACCCAACTAGACTCACGATGGTGGGCAGGCCCGCTGCCGTGCCCGGTGACTTTCCCGTGACGGTTGGTGCATCGGCCAAGAACAAGCTGGTTTGCGTTGGAGCAACTGGTGCCAAGTCTGGTGTCTCCTGCGCATCCTTCTCTTCCAAGGGGCTGGGCAAGATGGACCAGCTTCGCCCAGTTGGCTTGAACCAGACCACGCCTCCTGTGGGCCCTCCCAACACCATTGGCCAAGTATTCTTCTCTGAAGATGAAGAGACGCTGTATACTACCGTCAAGGGCAACCCAGGCACAAACACCACCGGAACTCTGGGAGTGTTTGCCGTGGATCAGCCCTGTGACGGCCGTGGAGCTGTCGCTGTCAGCCAGGAGGGCAAGCTGAATGTCCTTGACCAAACTGCCGTTCTTTTTGGCGCGGCGCCGCTCCCAGGCTCTCAAATCCTCTCCAGCGATGCAGCATTCGGAGCTGTCATGCTGTCTGTCGATACCGAAACTGGAACTGCAAGCGTCAAGAACGTTATTGATGTTGCTGGCCAGAAGGCCACCTGCTGGGCCACTCTCTCTCCTGAGACGAACACCGTGTTCCTTGGAGATGCTGGATTCGACCGATTTGTGGAACTATCCTCGACCGACGGCAGCATCCAGTCCATCACGAACCTCAACACTGGCGACCCTGGTATCAACGACTTGAAGGCTGCTGGCAGCTTCATCTACGCCTTGAGCCCCGGTAATGCTACCGTTGCGCCAGCAGTGACTGTATTTGATGTGGTTAGCAAAAAGGTGGCTCAACACTACCATTTGAAGGGATCATTCGCTACCAGCAAGGTCCAGGGCTTAACCGTTCTGGCGTAAGTTGCATGTGAAAGAAGAGGTGAATGGTTTAGGCTCTGGTAGCCCGTGTTTGATTTCGAAGGGGCTTCATTCATGTTTAAAAAGCTCTGCGTGTAAATACGATAGTCTAGTTTGCTTGCTCTTTCCTTTCTCTACTATTTTAATTTCCTATCAAGATGTATTAGAAGTATAGTCAAATTCAAAATGAAAATAAAAAAAGTCTTGTTCAGCAACTCTAGCTCCCCACAATCTTTCTCTTCTCTCGTTCTCTCTAGTGTAATCACCCAGAGTACAAGTACATGTATGCTTGTAGATGCCTCAATTAATGCGACCGAGGTTCGTATTAAGCATACAACGTTAACGTTAATCTTACACAACTCCTTGGTCTCTCGTGAGCTGAAGAAATGGATACCATCAGCTCATGTTGGTTGGTTGATGGAAGCCCCAATCACATGCAGAATCCAGAGTCAGGAGACGCCGCAAGCTTGCACAGCCGATGACAGTGAAAGTTCAAGCCACCAACGTGGCCTGTTTTAGTATCAAGCGAGTTGCAGGACTTGATTGAGCCCATCATGAGCGGTTTTTGCAAAGAGTGAGCGTGCGCTGATTTCGCTGCCTTGATGCATCATGTATGCACTCCGCACCGAGTAGGACTTTTTCTTATTCTCTACGTGTATTCAGAGTGACCAACAGCAAGGCTTTTGCTCGGCTAAACCATCCAACGGCTGCAGCGCATCTTGCGTGATTGCGCCTCCACGATGCGACACCTTTATGTATGCACACCGGACGGGCAACCACAGATCACATGGCGGGATTAATCCAATAATCCCCGTGGCCATGCGCAAATGCACCAATCGACGGCGCCCGGTAACATTGGCGATGCATGCGGCATGGCTGCAGGGTGCGGTTCATCTCGAGCTCCCACATTAGCCGAGACAGGGATTATCGGCAGCAGATCCTGAAATCCTGCATATACAGGCCGCACGAAGCGACGGTAATCAATTCTCAACTGCAGATGGATATTGGGTGGCGCGTTTCTTGGTATGGGCTCCAGTTATCTTTGCATCCATGATGCCGTATTGAGGTAAATCTCAGGAGTCTATAGGTACATGCTGCACAGGCGTTAAAACACACAATCAACAAGTGCCTGCCGACGGAGGGATCAGCAGTGATGCAGTGCGTCAAAGGTGGAGAGCAGAATCGCACAATGCTAAAGATGAGATTAAGAATGCTCCGTCGAGATTGCAGAAACGAAAATAACTCGCTCGTCTGTCTCGGCTAGTTGGCGCGAAACAGACCGGCTGTCGAGGAGCGGCGGAGCCTGATGTGGACATCCGTAGCAGTGCGGGCAATTCGAGTCAATAGCAGAGCAACAGTGCAGCGGGGCTGGAGAACTGAACTTTGGCTGGCCAGTGCCCCCCACGCGTTGCATTCCGAGTGGCGTATTTAAGGGTTCGCGGCCAGAGCATGGGCGTGCCTTGCGGAAGCATTGAAGGATTGGATCTATTGAGGGCTAAACTGCAGCCGCACTTTCTGAGCCAGTGGGCTTCGCCGTCGGCCCCAGCGTGTGCTGTAGCGTAGGCGAAGGAGGCAATGATCGGTTCTGATCAGCGGCAAAGGCCAAGGTGAAAACCGGATCACGGAGCATCTTGGGGGGGCACAGAGCTGCAGCACCTACGTAACTGCAGATGCCACTACGATTGTGCAGTGCAGATTGATTGCCTGCGCTTTGCGCTGCTATGGAGGATCATTAGATTCGATCATTTTGATGACATAGTAGACCCAGCAGTTACTAATAAGACACATGCAGCCATTGATTCCATACCTGGGCAAAAGTAGGGCCCGGCTGCTGGCAATAATTGCCTCTTCCGGGCCGGTACACTCCAACTGCAGCAGTCTTGGAGATAAGGATGGGGGACGCAGCGCGTAGGCAAACTGCTGGGCAGCTCTGTGCAGTTTCAGTAATTCTTAACAACCGAATGAGCAAATCGCTGCGGCGATATGGGCAAAGCGCCTGCTCTGACTGGCCACAGCACCAGGGCGATGCGGGGACTCCAGGCTCAAAGACGCTACGGCGCCCACACCTTGGCACTAAACAGGACTCTCGTCTCTGCTGCAGCGCGCGTGGCGGTACCTGGTGGTGTGCGGTGCCCCGGCCCCAGAGGCATGTCACTCTGCTCGCTCTGGGGCCTCTAGGCCTCTGCAGAGTGGGGATTCAGCTGATTGATTTCTCAGCACGGTCTGTGAGGGCGCTAAAAGTCTCTGCCTGGCCCACTGTAGCCGGAGCCCTTCGGCCAACAGTCGGTTACTGGCACGTTGCACTTTATCGCTTGTGGCCTGGACGAAGGAGAAAAAACTCCACTGGAGGGCTGGAGAGTCATAATCCCGATCCGAACATTCATAGCGATCTCGCTACAGACTCGCTCTAGGCTTTCCTCCTTTCACAACCATCACTGTCGCCATCATCGACTTTTGACTTTCGACGACCAAATTTGACGGACGACGACTGGCATCGATAACGACGCATCATAGCGACGCCACTGACTGCGATATCGTCCAAATCATTCACTTGAGACTCTATCAACGTGGCATTCAAACTTTGCCAGTTAATTGCATCAAGACGTTCCGGAGTCTCAACTATCGCCAACCACGAACGAGGTGCTGGTTGCGATTCACGCCATCAATTGACGAGCTCCCGTCTGATATCTCTTGACGAAAAAAATCATCATGTCGAATTACAGCGGTCGGCACGGCCCCAATGTGTCGCAATACCTTCGCGACCTCAACACCATCAGCCCTCAGGCGGATATTCTGGAAGAGAGCAGCTTAAACTTCGAGGAGGACCTGAATATCTTCACAAACACCCAGTTCTTCGACATCGACTCAGGCCAGAACACCGACTTCCAAGCTCAGCCCGCCAAGCCTGAAGGCAAGGCTCCCCACAGTGGCACCACATCTGAGGATGTAAGCGCTGCACCCTCAGTGATCGGTGAAATGCCCAACTTGGATTTCATGTCCGGTGAGTTTACTATTCTTGCTATTTTCCCTCTGCATTTGGATCCACATGCACATGTTTTTTTCCCTTTCAATTCCTCACACTTTTCGTCTTGCTCGTTGCCTATCAACTTCTCATTCCTGGGAAGAAAAAACGAGACCCTGGTTTTTTTTCCCTTTCCAGCAGAACCCGCGCACGCTCTAAGCGTGACCGGGCACACTCTTGTCAATCATCTCCGCAATCACCACGCGGGCCCTTGCATCCTCTGGTCCTTTTGCTGCTCTCTTTCCCCCATATCACTTCCATTTCCGCTTCTGTCATTGGGACGAGCTGTCTCTTAGACTGGTGCAGTGCATCAAAAGTGCTGCTGGAGTGCGCCTGCTGGGTGGGGCATCCCGCATTTCACATGCGCTGACAAATCCCGGGGCTATGGCGCCATAACTCGTGATTTGACATTCTCATCCCCAGATGCAACCATGCATCAGCGAGGCCTCGTTACTGGCCATGGATGGCTCGGGAGATATATCCCCCTTTCCCTGATATCTGCCGTATTGCTGTTTTGTCTTGTTCCGTCCTCTACTTCCTCATCTTGTGATCCATTTATGTGGTTTAAACAACATACTTGGCGTTCTTGGTGCTAATTACCAATGGTGGTATCAGACTTTACCTTCCCAGAGTTCAACAACACTACCACATATGCGGCGCCCCACATGAACAACTTCTCTGAACAGGGCTTCGCGCCCCTGCAGCCAAACCATGGCCACGTACAGGTTCCTCCTCATCATGCGCGGTTCCATCAGGCACCCCCACAGGTTGGCGAGAAGCGCAAGTCAGAGTCTCTGAACCAGGAAGAGGCTGCTAGAATGGCTGCCGAAGAGGACAAGCGGAGGAGGAACACTGCTGCCAGTGCCCGCTTCCGTATCAAGAAGAAGCAGCGCGAGCAGGCTCTGGAGAAGTCCGCCAAGGAGATGTCTGACAAGGTTTCCAACCTTGAGAGCAAGGTGTCTCAGCTTGAAACCGAGAACAAGTGGCTGAAGAACCTCTTGGTCGAGAAGAACGAGGGCAACGAGGACATTGTTGCTCTGTGGAAAGAATTCACCAAGCACGCCAGTGACAAGAGCAAGGCCGCATCCGCTGAATCAAGTAGCGGCGAGAAGATCAAAGGAGAGCAGTGAGCGAGCTCATGTTGATAATATTTTGTTCTGATCTCTCATAATGTCATGTTATTCGAAAGGGGCGGCGGGAGGCGTTGCTTTGGTTTCTGGCGTTCTTACTGTTAACCGGAACGAGGAGGCTTTGTCTTGTCCTGGGAAGATTTGAATCATGGATTTACCGATTCAATCTGGGGCTGAAATAAACGAAGCTGGGCCGGCGGATATCTATTTGGCTTTATTGTATGTGGCATATATCCAAAGTGGTTGGAGATGGAGAGCCAAAAGTAAAAGAAATGGGCTCTATGTGGGAAACGACGCTTCATTTATGTTATATGAAATGTTCAACTTTTTTTACTTCTCAAACTTCGCTCGTATTTTTGATTAATTGTCTATTGTTTGCCATCGGTGTCGTGATTGCCACTAGCGCCTATGTCATTGGCCCCTTCGCTGATGCCACGAGCCTCTCTCAGGGCAGCCAGACGTTGTTGGTTTCGTTTGCCGATAATGCGAAGCGTGTTTTGCCTTTCAATCTCTGCCATCTTATCCCAATTGGAGATGCGGGACATGGTGCCGTCCACGTTGACGACGAGCGGGCCGAGGGCGTCCAGCTTGACGGTTGTGCCTGAGCCGCTGACGTCGAGGGTTGTTACGCTTTCGCCGTCATGGGAGCCCGGCGCTGGTAGGGCCTCGCGAGGCGATGGCTTTGATGATGATGAGTTGTCTTGGGAGTCGGAGCTCATTTTGCGAAATGGAGATGAAGATGAGAATGGCGAGATGAGATGGCGGGGCTTGATGGTAAGGAGTGATGAGCGGAGGGGTAAAGTGCTGCGACGAAGCATTGGCTTTAGAGATTTGAAATCGCGTAATATATAAAGGATGTTGGATGCTATGTGCTGTGCCTGTGTGAGGTTTGAGAATCCGTTACACTTCCTTCGTCGTTGAATTGAGATATAGCCGAAGTGGATGCAAAGGTGCAGCTCGAAAGAGGGGACAATGGCTAGTAATAATATAAATGGCTACTGGTGAAGAGAATAGGCGACCAAGTTTATAGGTCAAGCTGCTGTAGAGACGCTGATGTTCTTATGGAGTTGGCGGGCGATGACGATGCTTGGTGGTTCTAGAATGCTTTGGAGTTTTTTTTCGCTTCTAGAGGCTTGGCCCCTCTGTTGTGTAATTGGCCGATTTTTACGTGCCGACCTAATTTAGCACCTCAGTTCCACGATGGGAGCTGGTCGGATTTATCTTTAATTGAGACGACAGTGGATGTTTCTATATAGTATATAGTTTCTTTTGGCTGATTATCAGGTTTGCATACCTGAAAGTTTGAGCGTAGAACCGTCCTTGATAAACTTTCGACGCAGCTATAGGAGCATGAATTCATGCGTAAAGCAGTACTCCGTAGAGAGATTGAGTACTCGTAGCATAATCACGTAATAAAGACTCACAAAAAAACAACTGCCTCTCAGAAGTGCTAGAGCGTTAAATTGTATGATTGTTGAAAAAAGAGATTTTAAACATTAATCGAAGAGCAGAATAGCTAGGAATCTACGAAGAAGGTCACTGACTGAAAACCAGCATGGCGCTTGACTTTCAATCAGTCGTTTCTGCTTCCAGAGGCAGCCATATAGACTGGTTGAAGGAGAGTTGATCGACTTCAACAGGGGTTTCCATGTGCATTCGTTACTCTCATCGGGCTGTCACAATCAACACGGAAGCTAGAAGAAGAAAGCGTGGCAGCTAGAGATAGTAAAAACGATGGATGCCAAGCTGTGGCTGGCCGCTACCTAAAAATATACGGGTTCATGGAGTGCTTTAGTACATGTAACAGTTAGCTCGGCAGTGGGTGCCGTAGAGTAGCACGAAGAAAGAAGAAATTCTGTACGAGCCCAAAAAGGCCCTGCAAGCATGCACTTGAGGCTGCAGCCCGCCCCCTTTTCTTTCCGACAAATTCCCTTTTCGATAAGAAAAATCCCAAAGTCTGAAATAATGTCGCATCTCAATGCACCGAGCTGTCAGCGAATGTTACCGACTCTACTGCTGATGCTGGGCGCCACCTGTTCCGATTCGGCACTTGGGGCTGATGGATCTCCAGCGTGGAGCGCGCTGGAGCGCCCTGATTCAGGCGAACGTCCCCATATACGGCATCGCAACGGAAGGAGGAGACAAAATGGAGCCAGGGGACGGCCGTTTTCGGGACAGAGACGATGCAGAGGTGAAGCGCGAGTCAAGATGCTGTTGTTTCCTTTATGGGGATGAAAGAAAAGGGAGAAGCTGTTGTTCGTATGAATGTTATGAGCTTTAGCTTGAAAGAACGAGTGTATAGGTGGTTTGATGAGCGGCGGAGAATTGGAACTGCAGATCTGTTTGGCGGATGAGGTAACATGCTGACACTAGGGTGCTATATTTGGGGCTGGATGTCCCTCGATCGACATTCGTCTACAGCAAGCTGTTGTGCTTGGTATCACCACTTGCATGGACATGTCAAGTACGACATTGCACCCGCCCGCTGCATGTCAAGCCCGGCAGGACCGAGTAGGTGATACGAAAGGCATTACTCGATCTCTGCCTGTTGAACGTCTATTTGAGACATGCCCCGGGCCGCGGAGCATGAGGCCTTTTGCTAGTCTGCTACGCATCGTATCAGGCTGGGCAAAGGTGGGCAAAACAGACGGACAAGGACACCGCTTCTTTTCCTCTTTCTCGATTTGTATGTGTGCTTGCCTGCACATTGTTACAGGACCAGCTTTTATATGCTCCACAGCTGGGGGAGGTTTCAGCAGGATTTTTGGCTCGAAGTGACGCTGATGGGACTGACATGCAGCTGCGGTGGAGGAGAAGGGGAGGTGAGGAGTAAATGCGGCGGTGGGAATAGCCTCAGCTGGAGGTGCAAGACTGCCCGTGCCTGTTGGATGCGGCGGCACCAACTCAACGATAGCTGTGCAAAAATATCATTAAAATTAAAGACAACAATCAAACTTATTTTATTGACAAGTGCAGTTTGAAAACCTCCAGAATCCCTGATATTCTTTTCCCCTCCCCTCTTTTGTCCTTTCCTCCCTTCTCCTTGTTGCGGCGCTCACTTCTCGTCGGCCATGCCGTTCTCAACTGGATCGGTTGGTCCATGCCGATTTAGTGAAGATGCACAGGCCTTCTCCTCTCTTGGTGCCCAGACGGCGTCGCGGATTGGCAGCCGGAGCCTGCCGGGTCGCTGCTCTCGCTGCCAATCCCCTGCCAAAGCGCTTTGTTTGGGGGGGTCATCTGGAGTATCTAGCGCTGTGCTCTGCGTGCGGATCCGTTTGTTAGTGCTCGAGGTGGCCCCCTCTAGGCCTCTTTATTGCTCCGTTATATAGGCAGAGTTTCGCGGTATGCCCCAGAGCGTTTCTGGGACGTAATTTTCTTGTTCAGCTTTTTTTTTGTCCTCTGCTACTTATGATCAAAGAGGATATCAGCTCTTCTTGCTCGCTCCTGGCCTTTGAACTTCACTGATCGCCTGTGGCCCTCGCTTGGACAGCTGCGTGACGTTATACCGTGCCGTTCTTCCGAAGCTGTGCTACGTGCTGTACCTTTCTCCAGGCTACAAAGCACCTCTTTTCCCCCTTCTTTTCACCTCTGGTTTGTTGCCCCCGACTCCAAGTCTCCTCCTGTCCTCTGCTGCTGTTCGGCAATACTGATTGATTGGACAGCCCATCGAGCTCTCCTAGCCACAAACATGTTCTCCGGACGCAAATTCTCCATCAATCGCCATACCGGCGCCCCGAAGCCGCTGCTGCGACGCTTCAGCAACGCCGAGCCGTCAACGAATGGTTAGTGAGGCCTTCTCTATGCTATACACTCTCTCTGCACACTGGGATGGGATCGAAGAAAGTGGGTGTTGCCACCGCCGCTGCAGCAAAAGCTGTGTTGCTGCTGTCAAACAAGCCACAAGAGACTATACCATCCTGCTTCCCTTTTTTCCTCTTTTGTGTTCAAGTGGCGGCCGTCAGAAGCAGCGGTGGCGCTTCGACTTGGCTTGATTGTGCTTGGATGAGCCCCGCCATCGCAGCGACCCCAACTCTCAAGCAGGATTACCCCTCCCCCGCAGCTTGATAGCCACCGCCAGCTTGTACTGCATTGGCAGGGTTTCTGCGGCCGCAACTGCGACGTCGATTTTTTCGCAACTGAAACATGCTTGAACATTTATTGCACGAAGCTGACATGATTTTGGCTCATAGAGTTCCAGTCCAAGGTCCACAGACAGTTCCGCAATGCGCACGAAGGCCACATGCCCCACGCCGGCCTCGATGCCAGCCGATCGTCCACTGGTGTCATCTGGTGTACTGAGCGAGCCAACGAGTATGGCTTCATGGATGAGCCTGATGCGTGGGCCAATCTTGGCCAAGGCGCCCCTGAAGTCGAGGACGAAATTGCCGGTTGCTTCAAGCGACCCGAGACGATCAACATCAGCGTTGCGGCTAGAGAGTACGGCCCTACAGCTGGTATCAAGCCCCTGAGAGAAGCCGTTGCCAAGCTCTACAATGAGACGCACCGTCAGGACAAAGACAGCAAATACACCTGGGAGAATGTCGCCATCGTGCCCGGTGGCCGTGCTGGTCTCATCCGAATTGCCGCTGTTCTGGGCAGCTCATACCTGTCTTTCTTCTTGCCCGACTACACTGCTTACAACGAGATGCTGAGTTTGTTCAAGAACGTGAGTCTCGCTATAGTCTGAGCACTCAGAAAACATGAACGTATTATCTGACTTGTCTGAAATACAGTTTGCAGCTATCCCCGTTCCCCTCTCCGAAGAAGACGGTTACCACATCCACCCCGACAAGATTGCTGAAGAAATTGCCCGTGGTACCTCCGTTATCCTTACCTCAAACCCTCGCAACCCCACTGGCCGAGTCGTTGCCAACCCCGAGCTGGCTGAGATCCAGGACCTTTGCCGAGGCCGCGCCACCTTTATCAGCGACGAGTTCTACTCTGGATACAACTACACCAGCAACTGCGATGGTTCCACCATCTCGGCCGCTGAGAACGTTGAGGATGTCGATGAAGACGATGTGTTGATCATTGACGGTCTCACCAAGCGCTTCCGACTGCCTGGATGGCGAATTGCATGGATCATTGGACCCAAGGGTAAGCTAAAGCCACAGAGTACCGAATTCTGATAATGGAGCTACAAGTACTAACTCTCCTTTCCCTCTAGAGTACATTAGCGCGTACGTTACGGAAATAACCAAAGCTCACTTGACGATTTTGTGGTTTTGCTGATAGTGTGTCTAGTATTGGCTCATGTGGTAGCTACTTGGATGGTGGTGCCGTGCATGCTCTCCAAGAGGCTGCTGTCCCCATGCTTGACCCTACCTTGGTTCAGAGTGAGATGATTCATCTCCAGCGCCACTTCCGGGTTTGTTTCACCGAGAATGTTGATTGAGAAACGGGAGTCTAACAGGCCAATAGGACAAGCGTGACTTCACCGTCCGACGTCTACGTGAGATGGGCTTCTCCATCAAATACGTTCCCGACTCCACCTTTTACCTGTAAGATGAAATCTCTCTTAACAATGCTTGAGTGCGGATATGCTAACTTGCTGAACTATCAAGGTGGCTGAACCTCGAGGGCCTTCCTGAGGCTATTGCTGACGGCCTCAACTTCTTCCAGGCCTGCTTGGAGGAGAAGGTTATTGTTGTCCCGGGTATCTTCTTCGATCTCAACCCCTCGCGAAGACGTGATCTGTTCGACAGCCCGTGCCACCACTTCGTGCGTCTGTCATACGGTCCCAAGATGGACGTCCTTAAGATGGGTTTGGATGGTATCGAGCGCGTTGTCAACAAGTATGTTTTACTATCGCAGTTGCATTCACCTTGGCCATGTGCAAACGCTAACACTTGAACTTCCCCTTTAGGCACAAGCGATCCGCCTAAAAGATTGAACAGGAGTTGGCCGACCTGACCCAAAAGCTTTGATGTTTCTCGCCGAGGGAGGCGGAAATTGCGGATATCAGCGGCCTGCCTAGCCAAGGCAGCAGCAGTTTTGAGTGAATTTAGCAGGAAGAGGCGAAGGTGAAGCCTCCTATTACTAGGGGGAGTAGTGTAAGTATACCGAGTAAGGCGCGGGGCTATGTGCAAGGGTCTGTTGAAGATGGATGAACTTTAAATGAACGATGGCTGTCACCTGGAGCGGAATAGCATTGTTGTGTTGAGACGTAATAGCGCCTCAGATGAATGAATGAACAACCTGACTGTTTTGAGACATCAGCCTGTCATGCGTGAGCCGCTTTGGTCATCTTCTGGCCACCTTCTAGCCACCAGTCCTACCGGTCTTGCCTGTTCAATCGCTTTGCCGCACGCCTTACCTTGCCGCTGCCTCGCGTACCTGACATATTCCCACTCTCGGCTGGAGGCCAATATGGGGGGCTGATCCTAAAACAGGCATCTTTCATGAACCATTGCCATAGAACCGGTTCTCTGGGACAGTCTAGTGTGTTTCGCTTCTATGCGAGGTTCGTGCCTAGGACGTAAATGTGCTAGACTCTCAGGGGTTGTAACTGCAGTGGCCATTGATATCTCGTCGATGAAGTGTTGGTTCGCCCCTGTAAAGCGAAATCAGATCGATCTGGCTCCGTTTCTTGTCTGCCTTGCAGGTGGCCTTTGAAGCGGCCTTTGAGGCTGAGGCGCCACCAGAGCCATGCTGTGCAGGCAGTGATTGAAGCCCCGCCTTTCCCCTGCGCCACAACTCACTGACCCTTGATTTTCGGAGCCCTGCCGGATTATGTGGGGGCGAGTAACCGCTGATGGGTGCAGTTGAGCCCAACCCAAGAATGCCTGACTGAGTGACTGACTGACTAACTTATGATAGTTCAATTGGCAGACTGTCACTAAATTCCAATGTTCAGGGTGAGCACTTTTCTGTCCTGTTATACAAATTACAAAGTTTAACTTACATTTAGCTAGTCTAAGTCTGCTGCACGGACGGTTGCAAGGTTGAACGATGGCCAATCTATAACAATGAGAGAAAATTCCATCTGAGTTTGGTATATGCGAACTTGCCTATATATAGGTACACTTCCATGCATACAATTGGGCTATTCATGGAATAACAATTTGAAGGATCCAAAGATCACTATTCAACAGAGCAACAAGCTCTATTATCTACCGAAAAGTTACATATTTGACAAACAAAAGCCTTTTTCATTCTCAAGTGGTGCAGCGGGTGGTTACCTTGTTTGGCAAACAAAGAAGGACGGGCTTGAGGAACAACTTGAAGTCACGGCTGTCGGCACCGGCTGCCACTTGTTGTCTTAACTCTTGCCACTTGCCACCTGCATCAGGAGCATTCCTTCTTGGCGGGTGTGGCTCGGGAAGTCACTGTTTGAACCAAACTTGCGCAGAAGCCGAACACCGTCGGGAGGGACAACTTGCCAACCTCTTCTTCTTTTTATATCGTCACCTCTCTCTTACACTTTCGCGACCTCTCGCAACAACAACTAGACTGCACATACTACTCGACTTTCGAGTTCTGTCCTCTCTCTTTCTTACATCATGAGAAGATCATCATTTCTTGGAAGCTTAAAAGACAAGTTTCGCACAGCTTTAGACGGGGAGTCTGAGAAGAGCGAATCCAAGAATTCACTCGCTCCAAACAATCCGTTTGCAGACCCTGGTATGTGATCCAAAAATGCAGTACGAACAAAGGGCAGGAATATAGTCTGACTTCGCTGTTTCCTCGCAGATGACGCACCTCCTGCATACTCTGCTGTTGCGAGCAGCAGCAGTGCGCCGCCGTCTCAAATCACCAGCAGCGACGATAAATACGCCTTTCTAGCGTCCTTTGATACAATCTTCCTCATTGACGACTCTGGCTCCATGCATGGCTCCAAGTGGCAAGAGGTGGCAGCCGTCCTGCTCAAAATCACGGACATTTGCACTGCTCGCGACAAGGACGGCATTGATTTATATTTTCTGAACCACAGATCAGGAGAATTCCCCACGGACGCGGGCAAGCCCGCGGGCGGTTACTACGGCATTGACACTCCAGAGAAGGTTCATATGGCCTTTCAGAGAGCCTCCCCCAGAGGCGGCACGCCTACTGGCCAGAGGCTAGAAGACATTCTTGATCCGTACATTGCGAGACTTAACACCAGCAAACCTCTGCCCGAAGATGTCGAGAAGATCAAGCCCATTAACATCATCGTCATCACGGACGGCAGTCCAACAGACGACCCTGAGAGAGTCATCTTACATTACGCCAGGAAACTTGACATGTTCAACGCGCCGTCGCACCAAGTCGGTATACAGTTCTTCCAGATTGGAGACGAGAAGAGCGCCGCGCAGGCGCTAAAAGACTTGGATGACGAGCTGGTTAAGCAGAAGGTCAGAGACATGGTGGACACGGTAACCTGGGACGGCAAGTCTTCCAATAGAAGAAAGAACCTTACCGCCGAGGGTATTCTAAAGGTTGTTCTGGGAGCGGTTGTTCGCCGCCTGGACAGGAGAGACATTCAAGAAACTCGTTGAGATCTAAGGTGAAGGAGCTTTTTGGGAGTATTTTTCTGGTATAAGAGAATTGCGAGGAGGATTTAATCAAGAAGGATGTCTACACGAGGGCTTATTGGGCAAATTGGCGAGCGAGCAACTGGGCGTGAGAAGGAAGACTCTTTAGACATTAGCAGAGCTGTTTACGCTTTAATTATGTATCAAGACAAAGGGTCTCGGTAGTAAAAGACCAAAAAAGTATTCTGGCGTTAGGACTTTTGCTTCTTACAACGGCTAGGTTAAAGCTGGGAAGAGACTTAATTTGAAAGGGTACGTTGACTACGATTTATAGCGGGGGGTCTTTGCAACTCAAGGCGGAATAGTACTCATATCAGAATAATTTTACTTGCTAAATAGGGAAAAAAGAAAATAGTGGCCATTTCCAATATTCATGTAGATAAAGGTATAAAAGAAATAGAAGGGAATAAAGACCCACGAAATGCCCATGATTGAGTTGTATCCTTGCCGCAAAGCCCTTCTTGATCGGATGTGTTTCCCAAAACTTGGTAAAACAAACACAGATCGGAAGAACGAAATATCCTCTCCAAGTATTTGGCCATCGGCTGAGTTTGATATTAAGGTAAATCTAAAACCAGGGAACCATAAAAAGTAAATAAAAATCGTATAAACCAGTAAACGCCTAAAAACCCAGTCATTCTTGATATCGAATCTGTCCCTATCCTAGGTAGCAATTTTTTTTTCTTTTGGTGTTTCATCTTCAAGTAATACCTTTGCCTGACCAAGAGTTCATTATGATATCGTTTTCCAACGTATCATTCCTGCATCGGTTGAACTAAAACCGTCGTGGGAAAGAAGAAAAAATGGAGAAATATACCATCTTCATCTCTTATACGTTAAAAAAATTAACCAAGCTCGTCCTCAGCCTCCTCTCCTTACTAGACCGGCACAACTCATTGCATGCAGAACACATCTGCCAGGGATACAGAATGCGCAGAAATATTTGAACCAGTGTCGTTTCGGCACGTCACCACCGGAGTCGTCACCAGCGCCACACGCCAATGCTTCGCTTGCAGCTCCAACGGGTCAGTGGGTGGCCAGATGGGCAGCATCGATTGCGAAGAGAAGCGGCTGCCGATTTCGGGAAATCGAAAGTCGAAAGTCAGACGGCTGGTGAGAATCTTGAAGGATATCTCGTACGCGCTGTCGATGACCTGCTCCAAGTCTTGGATTGCGTCTGCCGCGTTGTAGAATGTATTCATCAGGGGCTGGAGGCTGGTAAGGAGAGCGTGCGTGGCTTCTTCGATGCGGTTCTTGATAAAGGGGCCGCCCTGCTCCCTTTTCATGACGACGTCGATAATCGCAGCCATACGGTCGAGGATTGGCTGGCGAATAGCCGATGGTTGCCCTGTGACATGTTAATATTCTGCGTATGATCAAAGGGGGATACTCAATAATGCGGAATAGTCACCTGTTGTACGCTCCAGATCTCTCTCCACTTCCATGATGCCATAGGTAGAGTCTGCATCGGCGCCGGCCCAAGCACTAGGGTTCCAAATTCGGTTCACAACAAAGTCTATGATGACTCTGGTGACAATGCAGGACTTGGAATTTTCGCTGCGAATGTGGTGGTCAAGATAAGACTCTGCTGCCTGCTCGGATAGCGGGTAGTACGTGGCCAGCAAGATTGGCCATAGGTGAGTCTGGCTCAGCTTTGTCTCGCCCGTGGGATCAGGATTATTGGCGTGACACTCGACAAAGTGGCGTATAGTAGCATAAAAGTGCATCATATTCCCATGCCATGCCTGGACGGCTTGCTCTGTGATCGTGATCGGCTGGTTAGAGTAAGGGTTGCGACTCACAAGGGCATTAGGGGGGCCAGAAGTAGCGCCACCGGCTGAAGAGGCTCCAAAGTCTAGCAATGGAGACGGTGGAGCGTTATCACGAAGACGGCCACCGTATCTGCCTCGAGATTGACTAGTTGGAGTGTTGGGAAAGTGGTCCCGACCGTAGCTAAACGCGCTGCTGGGCCTTTGAGGAGGGTTCTCTGGCATAGCAAAAGCAGATTGCGGGAAGCTGGGTCGGAACTGATGGTTGCTCTGAAAACCTTGGCGGGAGGGGGCTCGGCCAAAATGAGGGCCTGGAAACTGTTTATGGTTAAAGGAGCCTTGTCTACCACCCTGCATAGGTGCGACCAGATTCCACGCATTGGCAGTTCGGCGATCATGAGGCAGGGCTGTCGTAGGCCGCGGAGGCATACTTCCCTGGAAGTGGCCAAACTTTGGCGGCGGACCAACCAAAGGGGGTCGTTGAGCGGGCTGAAAAGCCGTAGCTGGTCTGGGCGATGTTACGGGATCGCTGAAGATGCTGCCGTTGCCCACCACCTCCTCTTGAAGAGGTACTAGAGGTTTATGATGGCCATTTGTAACTTGAACATGTTCAGGGGACTGTTCAATGGTTCGAGGGATACCGGTGGAATTCGGTTGCTGCTGTGAGGTCCAAAGACCATGCTGTTTACTGATTTCATCTTCCAAGACTTGAATGGTGTTGTCGAGGCTCTAATAAGTAGATGGTATACGGTTAGATCAGATGACACCCTGCTTTGGTACATGAAGTTTACTTACCCTGATGATGAATTCGCCATCGGAAAATGGCAAACCCTTACTCAGTGAGTCATTTTTCTGTTTGTCAGCCTTGTCCCTCAACTGCTTGAACTCGGTGGTAATATCTGCGATGCCGCCCATGATATTCTTGAGATTCTCTTCAGTGTCTTCTCTCCTCTTCTTCTCTTGCCGAAGTTCTTCTTCAAGACTGTTGATTCGCTGGGCTTGATCATCTGCATGTGCCTTGGCAAGATTGGCCTCGATGCTCATCCTAGCAATCGCCTTATCTGTGTCTTCTTGGTCAAGATGAAGATTCATGACAGCTTCGACGAGGGCGCTCGTTTCCTGGCTGATGACTTGGCCAACTTCAATTAGCCGTTGAATGATTTCATTCGATTCATTGGCGGCAACGCCAGGCATGCGCCTCAGAGAGTGCTGTATCTTAACCAAAATCTCCTGCGTGATACGGGATTTCTCGAAAGCAGGCTAGTAGCAACAGTTGGTCAGCCACTGATTAAAATTCTTGAAGAATGAGGTCTTACATGGTTATTGGACATTTGCTTGATCCTCTCAGACCGCGCAGGCCCGTTAAGGGGCGTGGAAAAGTTGACAGACAACATGTTCCCGATCACAGCTGCTGCTCCTTCGATGGCTGAATTCGCTGAGCTGATCGGCGTGCTACACCTATTGAAGCTGCCTTCTGTGGTGAGAGTTCTGATATCACTCCAGATCATATTCCGAAAGCGAGGCAGAAAGACGGCGCCACAGCCGGCGTAAAGAATGACGGCAGATAAAGAGCAGGGAAGAAATTGAGTGGTATAGGAAGAGTGTTGAGCAGGACTGGAAAACGCGGAGGTTGCAACCCTATCATTTCATTAGCTTTGCTGGTAATCTCTCGGCCTTTCTCAGCATCTTCGGATTGGAATATAATATATATTGGCTCGAATGATCCTGTAATTTCGAACAAGGCAGAATAATAGAATTTGGTTGGACACTTACCTGATTCGTCTTTCTCAGATATAGCGCGTCTAGCCGAGATAACCTGTCCGGAAACGCAAAATAACAGAAAATAAATAGGGGGCTATGCAAAACGTGAAAGAAATAAGAAAGAAACAAGGTTCTCGAGAATAAAGCTGCATGTGAATGTCGATATCTGTGAAAATGAAAGCGTGAATCCGCTGTTGAGAAACTGCTGGCCGGATGAGATTCCCAAGCAACGGATGCTGCAGTTGAGAGAAGCGCGAGAAACAATAGAAATAAAAGTGTGGGAAGAAAGCAAACGAAACAGAAAAGAAACAACCCCAAGAAATGACGCCGCAAAAACGTGGCCAAAAGGCTGAGAGCTGAATATGAGCTGAGACTGAAGTGAGATTATTTGGCTGTTTGCTGCCGGTTCCGCCACTCCTAGAAGATTTTGTTCTCTGCGGTGCTTCTCCTGAAACACCACCAAAGGAGGTGCTGAAAATGGAGGTAGCAGTTGTACATTAGGAAGAAAAAGAGAGAATCTGGAGAATGAGGATACTTTGAGAATAACGATGCTGTGAATGGCTGGACGATGGGCAGATGCACGCACAAAGTTGTATATCAATAACAGATGGTCCTGCTCCCAAAAATACAAGGAGTGAAGAGTTAATAGATGTGGCAGTGAAGTACTTGGTAGCAGTTGATATAAAGCAGAGCTGCTATCACGTGGTTCACGCCTTAAGCTACTGCCATACTCGCAATTCAAGTCAGTTCTTTTCTTCCAGGGCTGAATTCGTCTTGGAAAATGGAGGGCACCCGGAGCTAGATTGATAGAGCAAAGGCAAAAAAGAATGGATATAGGAGCATTCCCGATGATTCTCAACGATGTATATTCTCTTGTTTTGAAACTCGAAAAGCTCAAGTAGCCACCCTCGGCCATAACAGCGAAGTATTACTATAATGATTCCCTAGTTCGCCTATGTTATTTCAATCAATTATTCATCTTCCGTCGAGTATTATAAGAGTTTATCATTGCTATGGCATCAATATCAGAAACTAATCCTACACGATTTCGAAACGAATTTTGATCAAAACGACTATCGATGACCGTCCTAGGCATAAACATCAGTTTGGGACATTGCCGTATAAAGAGGTGCTAAAAGGCATTATTAAACGGAACAAGAAAAAAAAGTCAAAACCGGCGACCAAGGCGCCCCGTTGGATTCAAAAAATCTGCTGCACCAAAAGAACTTGGCTGATTTAGTATTCGGCTGGACAAGAGGTGTAACCTGCATCGTGCTGCTATTCTGTCTTTTATAGCAGAAGTCGTAACTGGATAGCTGCACAAAGGCATAGAAAGGGCTATCAATGGGTTAACAACGAATACTGGGTTATATTTTCATAAACTAGTTACCAACCTCCAAGTTCCTAGATTGCACAATGTGAATAGCAAAGCATTAGCTTCAGATTGCCCGGGTGCGAGAGAACAAACTGCTGTAGACGGCGTCTACAACAGGTGATGCGTCGATCATTCGGCCGCCAAAGTATCTACCGTTGAGACCCTTGATGGCGTTTTCGCCGCCCTGGACTTTGTCAAATTTGAGGTAAATGTCTCCTTTAGAGTTGGGGTCGACAGAGATATGGACAACATGCCCATATCGTTGTTCCGCTTCCTGTCGAACCTCATCTTCGAGCTCTTTGACCCAGTCGTCGCCCTCCTCTCTGTGGTTCCCAGTTAGTGTCACTGTCTATAATCCTTCAGAAAGGGTAATACTTACTCTGTGGGGTCGAACATGTTGTGCAAAACAACACAGCGACTGGCCATATTTACGTTGACAGGGAGGGGCTTCGTCTCCGTCTTGGGCTTGAGAATCTGCTGGCGCTCTTCGTTGCCGTTGGTCGGGGCGTCGTCGGTCCTGGCAAGTTTTCTCATCAATGCATCGCGGCTATAGTTGTTAAAGTTGACGCCAGCAACATCTGTATCATCCAAAGCGCTAGCACCACCAGTCTTTTCGCTGTCGCGACCTCCGGCTCGGTCGAACGTAGACTGTTGGCCACGTCCGCCTGCTCCGGAGAACGCAGAGCCTTGGAAGCCGCCCTGGTTGTTACCGGAAAATTTGTGCATTAGGTTGGCAGTACTCTCAGGGGTAAACTTATCGTTGCCAAGGCCAACACGGATAGGACGGCCAGCCAAGTCAAACCCGTTCATCTTTTCCAAAGCCTCGCGAGCTTGGCCTGCATCCCGAAATCTGTTGAGATGGCATTAGTCATATCTTCTATTTGCAAGATGTGAGAAGTGGGAAATGGGAGGGGCAGAAACTCACTGGACGAATCCATAACCACGGCTGCGTCCGTTGTCGTCTTTTTGGAGCTGAACAAACTCAAGCTCTCCAAATGGCTCAAATACAGCTTGTAGATCTTGCTCTGTAACATTGAAGTGAATGTTGCCCACATAAAGGCGGTGGAATGGTATGGAGTTGGGATGTCCACTTGATGAGTCTGGGTTGCGAGCTTGGCGATTCTTCTCTGCCTCGGTATGTTGCACAATGACAGGGATGCCTAGGAGTTTCTGTCCTGTAAGTTGAAGGGCTTGCTGCACGGCATCTTCACTCTTGAACTCAACATAGCCCACTCTGCAGCCTAATTAGTGACACGTAATTGAATACAGAGAGGTTTAATGTTCAGAGCGACTTACCCCTTAGACCGCCCAGAAATTCGATCTTTCACGATCTGAGCTTCATTAACAGGTCCGACTTTTTCGAAAAATTCTTTCAGCTCACGAGTCCGCAGCCGAGCTGCAAGCTGCTGGACAAACACGGTACGGCGATCCCTCTCATCCTCCGTAAGCGGGGCATTGGCGCCCTCATTGGCGGCGTCAGGGCGGTCGTCATCTCGACCACCGCGGCGTCCGTAGTCATTGGAGTAGCGGTCGCCGCCTCGATCTCGTCGGTCTCGTCGATCGCGATCGTCACGAGGACGATAGTGTCGAGGGGGCGAACGTGAACGCGAGCGAGCTCGTCCACCTCGATAGTAGTCGCCGTCTCTGTGGCGGCGTGAGTGACGACGGTCATCATCACGACTCCTGCTTCTCCGCCTACTTTTGTGGCTGCCAGTGTCACTGCGGGGAGTGCCTGTGTCGGGAGTCTCGCGGCGGCTTCGAGTAAGGCTGTAGTCTCGACGGCGACGGTCGTAGTCTCGATCTCTATCTCTCACACGGCTGCCATCACGTTCTCGGCCTTTATCGCGATCGGAGTCTCTATCTCGCCTATCAGATTTACCGTCATCTTTGGAGCGGTCCGCATCAGGGGTCTTTTGCTTTTTCTCTGGGTTCTTAGCCGTTGCGTCGAGCAGCGCCTCGACATCTAAGCTAGACATGATGGTGAACTGTCCTGACGGCCAATGGCAAAAGAGAAGAGTTTGCTAGTACTTTGAAGGGGGCAATGGAACGTGAACAACAAGTACGATTGCCGTGGAATACAATAGTGTCCGTTGCGTCGTATCTCGGGATCGGCAAAATTGTCATGGATATCAATCCCCAGAAAGTTTCTGGCGAGTTAGGCTTTGGAATCAACCTACTTTCTCCTTGGGACTTGAGCTAAGGCGAGTCACGTGAATGGCGTTTGCAATGTTTATTGCATGGCTTACGTAATCTAGAAATAGCAGCCCGGCGGTCTAAAGATCATACCATCATAAGCAACCAAATACTCGGTAATAATTAAGACAACCGGAGATTGTCATTGTTTGATTAAAATCTTTTACTATTTAAAAAAGTACCATCGGTGGTATAAAAGTCCGATGCGTATGCCATTAGTGTCTTTGCTTCATGAAGACGATCTCTTGATTAATCCATAACTCATGTCAACAACCATTGAAAAATTTGCCTCCCACAATGCATTAAACAACCTCGTCAACTCTGATTGTCCATATTCGTGACAATCTATTTTTCTCAGATGTATCAGGTCCTTCGTGTTTATTGAGTCTTGATAACGTTGGGCTTCAACTCTGTGCCGAATACGTTGTCCCAGAATCTGGTAGTGACGCCAAAGCCGAGCTCGTACTCGAGGAAATGGTGCTCCAGGTGGTACTTCTTGAGATCTTTATACCAGAGAGGCAAGTTCTCGTGGTGGAGGAAGTAGTGAGTCAGGTCATAGCAGATATAACCAAAGATGCCGCCACAGTAGACCGCGGTCGCGGCATACCAGTTGTAGGCGAAAATGGTATGGGCGAGATACCAGAACGGAGTTGCAAGCAATACGAACATGGTAGGGGGCATGACAAGTCTGTACCTATCCATGGGCAAGTAGTGGTGGATGCCGTGAAGCAAGAAGTGTGCAATGATGCCATATTTGTTATCAGGAAGGTAGCTGCATCATAGTTAGCAACAAATCAAATGACTTGAATTTTAGGGATAATATCGTACTCATCAAGATGGAACAGAAATCTGTGCAGTCCATATTCGACAAGGCTCCAAATGAAAAAGCCAAGGACCCAATATGCGGCAGGGATGATGGGATTATCCCAACCTTGGAAGGCCAAATAGGAGCCATACGAGTCGCAAGGGAGCCAGAGGAGGGGAATCATCCACCAAGGGGTCTTTGTGAGCGGCTCAAGGAAGTTGCCAAAGAGGGGAGCAGACTGGCCGCCCTTGTAGTGGCGTGGACGATGCACTTGGTCAAGGTAGAACTTCTTGGAAAAGTTACCGTACCAGAGCTGGGAAAACAAAGGCTTGCTCAAATCCAGAAACTTGTGTTTTTTATAGTCTTGGTTGTAGTCCGTGTCTTTGCTGAGATCTTCTTCATTGGACATGCCAGTTCTCGGGTGCACATACTCGCCATTGGCGGCTCCATTCTGCTCTGGCCTCAGGTAGCCGACCAGAGAGTCGTCGAGGATGTCATATGCAGCATCTGAATGGGTGTGCGAGACGCCGTCTTCCAAGATCTCCTTGATGTCCTTGCCAGCATAGTCGAGGATGAGCTTGTGGCCGCCGGGATGGTCGAACAGGAAGCTTGTAACGTCGTAAATCTTGTTGCCGAGAGTGACATAACAGTCCCGCTCAGTATTATGTCTCTCGACCTCGGCGCGAGTGAGTTTAGTGAGAGTTTCGGTAGCCATTTTGCCGTACTATCACGAGATGCGAATGGGCGGACAGGGATGGAGTGGCGGCGATGAAGACAGATCGATAAACTAAAAGCGACCAGTTCGGTAACGAAAGTGGAGAGCAGGCAAGAGATTGGCCCTCTTGGCAGCAAGCCAGGCGTGAAAGTAAAAAACTGAAAAAGAAAGTATATGGCTGTGCGGGCAAAAGCACGGGTCGCAACGTTGCTAGTTGGCTGCGAGAAGAAAAGAAGAAAAGAGGGCGTGAAGTATTTATCAGGGGGGCTATGAGATTTTTTTGAAGATCGGACGGGGTCCTGGGGGTTTCTAGGTGGCCGATGAAATCCCCTGACGCGCTACTAGCGGCTGGCCACCGGAAGCCGAGCACTAGCAGGTGGCGTTACCAACGAAATCTCAGCAGAGCGCAGCCAAAGTCACACCACCGCCAATAAGAATTTACCTTTACTTCATTTTTGGCGCCAAGATTACTTTTTTCCTTTTCATTCCCCTCTCGTCGTTGCACTAAAGGAGCGTCGATGTTGCGTCAAACGATGAGGCGCAGCATCTTGAAGGTTCCTACTGCTCTGCTCTGATTGAATTGAGTCGAAATCTAAAATCTACTACTTCGTAAGCGGAGTTTCTCACTGTAAGCCTCCGGGTATTTGACACGACGGCCTGCAGCTGGCTGGCTGGAGCTGCTGAATGTGTCTGTATGCGGAGTAGTGTCGGCGATAGCCCAAGCATGGAAATTGAGTAGCCTATTCGATTTCCCTGTTGAGTTTCCCTGTTGAGCACTATCCTGCTGCCGGAGACTTTTATGTCACCAAATCACATCAAAAACCAGGGCCCATGATTTCCATAATGATCCTCTTCCTTGTGATGCCGAGGAGTCCGAGCTATCTGCTGAGCCCCTATTTGAATGGTCGCATATCCACTGTCGGAGATCAGAGTAGCGTTCTGGATTCGTGGCAATGGATTAATATACATCATGGCATATGGGCCTATTCCTCACCTAAGATGGCGGGTCAGCTTGGAACTTGACGCCGCACCAAATCTGTGGCTGTGCTGTTGCATCACGTCCACAACGTGGCGCAAACAAAGTCGTGGCTAGTAATTAGGTATGTGGCTGGTCGATCTTCCTAGGAAGTATTAGACAATCAGCCGCACAGAACACACGCTAGCAATTTAGGTAGTTCAAGACGAGAACAAACAAACAAACCAAGAGGAGGCACCCAATCTCACCTGCATCATACACATGGCGATACGCCGATTCGACGAATTCTAAGAGATCAAGGGGAAACAGCTCACGCACTTGACACTGGTTTGTTTTTATATTTTTTGAGGAGCACAGCCACTGATTTTCACGCTGGCCTGTTTCTTCATCTGTTTCTGTGCCCCGCCATAGCTCCTGCATCATGGCGTCACTTTCACCACCGTGGCTGCTGGTGCTGTGCATCTGTCTCGTGCTGCTGCCGACCCAAGTCGCGGCGTTTGGCGCAGGGAATATTCCGTCGATTGCGCAGGTTGGTTCTTGAGCTACATGAGCAAAAAGTTTTTCTACTGGCAAGGGGTCCAGAAGCTCACAAACTGCAGGTCGAAGGCCACAATTGGCGTCATGGAGGTGCGTGATACAGAGTGCCTTGATGAGGGGCAGTATATGGAACATGAGACGAATAGTTACTGACGGTCTGATCGCAGATATTGAGGATATGCTGACAACCGTTGCCTTCCTGCGAGGAAAGAAATGGACGTCAATGCTCATTAAGAGAACCTACTTTGGCAACTGGCTTCGTGATTACTCGCAGGCCATCGACGTTGGCTCTCTCAAGGGCGTCAATGCTCCCACAATACGTATCTTGGTAGGAATGAAGCCCTCGTCTATTGATTGCTAGCTTTAACAAACGATTCAAGGTTTGGATTCTCTCCTTCATGGCCTTTGGCTACGCCACCGAGGAATTTGAGGTGACGGAAGAACGCTTGGGCTGCTATCGTCCCGAGGAGCATATCGACAACCCCAAGGGCTACGCTGATGGCGCTGATGCTCGCACCTTCGACCCTCGTTTACGTGGCCCGGTTGATCCTGTTGAAATCGACATCGACATGAACACTGGCATGAAGAACTACATTGCAAACGAGAGTGGTCGATGGGCTACCAGTGCCGGCTATCTGCGATATAGTTTTGCTCGAAGTATCCACTTTGGCCGCCTTTATACCCATGGATCAAAGAGTGGCAACGAGGCAGATTTGAACGAAGCACTCAGGTGCCTTGGCCAGGCTTTACACTGCATGGAGGATTTTAGTGCTCACAGCAACTACTGCGAGTTAGCCCTCCGTGAGTTGGGCCACCGAGAAGTATTTCCACACTGCGGAATACAGTCAGAGATATCGATCCATGGGAAACATGTCTTCCCTCTGGTGACTGGTACCTTTGGAGGTGTCGATTTCCTGCATTCTGTCATCGGCGAGGCAAATGATCACTTCACTCAATCCGAAGTCGACGAAGTTGATATTGCTCTCTTGAACGCGGGTGGTGCCGGCGGCAGCGGCGGCGGCGGCGGCGCTTCCAGAGGCCTCTTGGGCATTGGCGCTCCACGGGATTTCGTTTCCCTCATTGCCAAGATACCTGGTGATGGCGCCGGCTTCGCTGCTCAAGCTAGAGAGCTCAAGGCCATGTCAGATGCCCAAGAACAAGAAAACGAAGTGCGCTCTCGTTCTGAAGGAAACACTAACGTCGTCCCTGGCCTGAGCCCAAATTTCGACCCAGTCAAGACTGCGAAGCGGATTTACCCCATATTGCAATTCCGTGACAGGATCGTCAAAGCCATTAGCCGAGGAATCGAAAAGATCCCCGGCCTCGAGAAACTCCTCGAGCACATCAGCGAGACGCTGACTGCCTTTATCCTCGGTCTCCTGGCTCCTTTCATTCGACCCATTATCAACCAGGTGTCCAAGGTCTTGAAGGAGGGTTCCTCTGGCGTGCTCAGTGCCAGTGCTAATTCTCAATACGAGCCATGGGAGAACCCTAGAAGCACAGATCCAACGCACTCTATGCTGTCAAAGGACCATTTCACCAACGTCCTCAACTCTTGCGCCGGCCGTGTTGCAAGCACAGTTCTTCAGTATACTGTCCCGTAAGTTATTCTTCACACTTCCTCTCTAACCTATCATCGATGTCTAGGAGTTTGTTTGTTTCCTAACCAAGTCTCACAGCCGTGTTCTCTATGCATGGGAGAACCCCAATGTCCCCGTAGATGAAGTCGCCAGCGACGTTCTGCGCGCATTCCACCACCCAGCACTCCGCCGTGGGGACGTGCAGATTCAACAGGATATGTTCCGCACCGTACAGTCCTGGGTCAATGAGCATCCTCGCCGGCACGACATCGACCGTCTCCTTTCATCGGAATCCGTCAGACAGGGCAAAAATCACATTCTCAACCAGCAGAAGCAGAAGGGAGGCGGCGGCGGCGGCCATGGCCACGATGCCTGGGAGACCATCACCCAGCTTGGCCACGGCAAGGTTTCTGGATCACTGTGGGAGCAGGTCAAGACTCGAGACTTGAACTCTCTGGAGGGCCATGATGGCAATCCATCCGCCAACTACATGTCCAATTCTCCGGCTCCTCCTTCGCGATATTCACCGCCGGCTCAGGGGGGTTACGGCTATGGAGAGAGTGCCTCATACCACGCTCAGACTCACGCCGGATCATCACAGGGCCATCCTGGCCACTCCCAAGGTCACGCCTCTGGCTATTCCCAAGGCTATTCCCAAGACTATTCCCAAGGCTACTCCAACCAACCGCAGTATCAACAGCAGTACGGTGGGCAGCCTCAGCCTCCTCATGGGTATGGGGGTCCAGGTTATGATGCCCCAGCTCAGCCGCAGTATGCTCCGCACCAAGGCCACGGCCACAGCCATGGACACCAGCATCAATCATCAAACTGGGATTCACAGCATGACCGCTATTAAGCGTAAAATATCTTCACTGGCATGGCAGTTGGCAATATTTCAAAAGCTTTCTGGTATAGACGCTCGTGTGCGGAGGTGTATCCGTGCTTTTGTCCAAGTTATGTTCATGTCAAGAGATGTTCATTGTATGCCTGAAAAAGTTGAGGGGCTGGTTAAGTAGTATACCTGTTGGAGGAAAATATGTGAGTTACGAAAATATTGTGCTGTCTTTAATATCATATCAGAAATTAAATATATACGCACGTCTCGTCCAGTCATTCCAAAATGTTCAGAGTTTGTTTATATAATCTCTATCTACCTGTAGATACAATAACTATCCTCATTCCACGACCCTATTCAAATGAAACCTCGGAAACAGGTTTCAAACGAGACTGCAAGCGAACCGAAATTATCAAGAATATATATATGGGCCACACAGGCAGCCATTCTACAACGCTTTGCCTTCAAACTCCATCCTAGGGTGTATGCATTTGCATGTGTTTTGCAAAATTCCAACCAAAAACTCGCTATCTTTCATGCTAATCGCCAAAACGGGATCTCTACTCACAATATCCCTCTAGCTGCTCTTAACCAGCCCAATTGCCTCTTGTCCATTATAAAAAGACTTCCTACCGCTTCGAGCGTCGTCGCGGATCCTGAGCCTCCGCACGTCTAATGTCCCTAAACTCCTTTGTCCCCAGACTGCCCAAGCCCCCTTCAGACCGACGCTCCCAGCCGCCCAGTCGCACAACCTGGCATGTCGCATTGTCGCCATCATCGGAAACTTCGGTCGCGTACTCGACAACTCGACGAGCACCTTCCTCTGGGGTTTTGGCTTCCTTGACGACATCTACAATCTCCTGGTCGCTGAGGGTGCCAGAGACACCATCGCTCATGAGCACGATGAACGAATATTGAGCAGGGCCGAGCTCTACCCTGATGATCTCGGGCTCTGCAGAGACGCCTATCCGCTTGCTCTTGACGTCGCCGAATGCTCGGCTATTGGCCAGCCCTGCAATGCGCTCTTCTCCGAAACTGTCTCCAGACACCATAGAGCCGGCTGGGGCGTATCGACGCAGGCGATTACTCTCGCGCGGCGTGGTAGGATGGTGATCCGACGTAAGGGGCTGAGCAAGGCCCGTCGCCGTATCGCACAGCAGTACGCGAGTATCGCCGACATGTGCTACAATGAGCGAGGAGTGTGCGCCAGGGTGCCAAAAGGGCGCGGGCGTGGGCGTGGAGATGAGCGCAATCGACGCAGTAGACCCCCCCTTGAACCGAGTAGCACCGCCAATGTCGTGGCCTGACGGCGTGGCGTGAGGCTCACCCAGTATCTCATCGTTATTCAGGGGGCTATCGCTAACCCGGAGATCGTCTGGGTCGACTTTCCGAGCCTGTGCGGAGACAAAATCCAAGTCGGCGCGTAGAAATGCGTAGGCAAGGGCCGCTTCAACCGAAATGGTTTGATTCGCGCCATCATTTGTGAGGTTAAAATGCTCTGGCTGGAAACGACGAAAGTAGCCACCAATTGAGTCTCTGTATTCTTGCACCAGACCCTTCTTCAACTTGATTGCCTTTTGGTAGTCCGATACCTCAACAGGCTCAGACTCGGCACTAGGCAAAGGATCTCCATGCCGTGGGGCTTGCCGTGTGTTATCATCACTGTCTGGAAGCTGGATATCGTCCTTCACCTCATCAGGTTTTTTCATGTTGACATTGTCAAGGGCTTGTTCCTTGGTAACGGGCCTTCTGGATACTTCCGAAGGGTTCTTTTTCCGCAGGCTGCTCTGAAGGCCAAACTCAGATGCCGCTTCTTCAATGTAGCCATGCAACTCATCCCGTAGAAAATGGGAACACTGAGCTCCTCCATGTCCGTCAAAAACTCCAAAGTAGAACACCTGAGGGTCTCCAAGAGCGCTATCTGCCGCGGTTGGCTCTCCCGGCTTCTGCCTCACGCTTGTCGGCGCCCTCTTTGCAAAGGCCGGCATGTCAATAATCCCCGCCTGGTCTGCATCCTCGTTATAAGGACGATTTCCTCGGGCAGTTGCTGTACCAAAGTGATGCTTAGCCCGCCGCAATGGTATCCTCACGACCGTCATGTTTTGACTGGACATGTTTGGTATCGAGACAGCGGGGGAAGACCCGGGACTTGGGGTATGTGGTGTCGAGGCATCGCGGGGGAGCTTGTGGCCGGGCCCATATGGCCGGGCAGAATCTGGATGTAGGGAGGAAGAGGGCAGATGAGTGACGAAGTATGTATGGAAGTCCCGCCTGGCAGCCGGCAGCGCATGTCTTGGAGGCAAATCAACGATAGTGTTGCAAGATACCCCGCGGGCTCCGCATAGCGATGTCTGTGCGGGACGCGATCTTGTTCTCGTCGCTAAAGCCGTATATCGGTTTCGGCGGACTGCCGTGCTCTCGTTTTGAAGCGGTAGAGCATCTTCTGGCAGATTCAACTGAGTGCCCACGCAGGAGGCTCGCAAAGCGGTCGGTATCGCGGGGATCGAAACAGCGTCGGGGGAGATGTGGGCGGCAGCTCTCGATGCCGAGCCTAGCGCTTTAATGGCCAAGTTCGCCATTGAGACTGGAGACTGTGTGCGCTGCCCGAAGCTCGAGACGCTCAAGCCCAAGCATTCGGAGTCGTTTTCGGAGTCGAGTCGCTGTCAATTTGCCGTCGCTCACAGCCATGGGCTCGCCGTTGGGGACGCAGAAGAAGGAAGGACGAAGGTCTCAGGCAAAGAAGGCCTAGTCGGTTTGTCGAGATAGCCGAACGGCTTTGTTCGGCTCAGTGCGAGAGTCTTGCGCGCCAATCTAAGAGTTCTTAGGAACGTTCAAAAAGGAAGTTTTGCGTTTGGGTGTTGAGAGGAGAGCGACAGGTTTGGGAATGAGGAGATTGTAGACAGAAGCTTGGAGGGAAATTACTCGCGGGAGACAAGCGGATAGACAAAGGCGAGAGGAGTTGTGCACCAGCGGCAGCAAGCTCGGCAACGACGTCTGTGCCCGAAAGTTTAGTAGCATTGACTACATGCAGAGGCTAATTTGGGCTTTCAATTCAATTAACCACCCACCTGCAACCCAGTACCCAAGCCCAGCATACAGTAGTACCTGCACATAGTCAAATGTTTCCACCGTCTTCTATAAAAAAAATTGAAGAAAAAAAATGAAGAAAAGTCTCCTTGATTGATGCCCAAGCTGTGCGTCTACTGGCTAAGCCATGTCCAAGCTCTATCGCACTGATATGCAGACGAGGCAAGCAGAGATCCGACCTTGACGTGATATCATTTCCGACCGATTTGCAAGGGCCCCCCTGCAGGCTCTCAAGCATTGCGGCAACGCAGGGGTGCAGCGCGCGTGGATGGTGGACGCAGCGCTGGACTTTGGTGCCTGGCCGCCGACACAGGCCACTGCGCAGGCAGTGCAGCGCATCTGCGTTTAGTAATTGATGCCCGGCGCTGCTTAGCTCACAGCGGCTGCGGCACTGGGATTTGATGGCACTAATCGCCTTTTGGAGCTGACCCAGGCATCGAGGAAAAAAAAAAAAAGACAGCCAGAGATCCCAGCAAGCCGCGGCTTAGGCATCAGGCTGGGACTGGCAACTGATAGGGAGTGCTGATAATGCCACTGCGAGGCATCTGGCAGGTCCTGGGTCCTCTCGTGCACTCAGATAAATCGTGGACTGGCTGGCCGGTCAACCTTTTTCTTTTCCCAAACTCAAACATTCTATGTCGATAGTATTCCTTCTGCTGGAAGGATGGGCGAGTCTGCGGCAGCCGCACCCGCAGACGCAGAGGCTGCCAAGAATTCGGAAGTAGACGGCCCAACAGTCGTCAACATTGCCGACGCCGGCGACATCGTTCTGGACGTGACGTTCGAAACCTCAAGGGAAACGCTCAGGAAATCGCAGAAGGCGTCAGCCCTGGCACTTAAGAAGCCCAGCGGCGCACCTCAGCCCGCGCTCAAGAGCAAGGTGACTGTTGCGTTTCGGGTCAGCCAAGCCGCCCTGAAGAAGCATTCTCAGTATTTCGCCAACCTCCTGTCCAACCCGAAGTTTAGTGAGGCTTCAGCCATTGATGAGGCGCATAAGAAACTTGAGAAATTGAAGATTGAGCCTGGCAAGGCAGACGCCGCAGACTTGCCGTGGATCAGAATCACGGATGACGACGAAGCCACAAAGGCGGCGGGCCGCGAACATGTGTTTGAGGACATGCTCAAGATCATCCACCAGAAGCCACTCAAGGCGCCGAGGGTAGCCTTGTCCGAGGTTGCCACAATGGCCATTCTCGCAGACCGTTTCGACTGTCTTACGGTAGTGGCTCGCTCTCTAAATGGGATCCGCTGGCCAGTAACGAACAATCGACCCTTTGCCGATGACAGTGGCCGTAACACGGATGCAGAGCAGATGCTTCGGGAGAAGATTCTCGTTTCCTGGCTTCTCAGCAATGGCATGAAGCTGCATCAGGCGGCGCGAGAGCTTGTCGTGCGAGGATCTCGCCTATGGAGCGACTACTCCGAAGAGCGCGAGGAGTTGACGGCTGCGTGGTGGCATTTGCCCGAAGGCATAGAAGGTAAGCTACCAGATCCTGACATGTATATGCATGCATCAGCCAAGTCAAATTGTTAATGAATGCACAGAGGAACTAAAGTACCGGAGAGAATGCGTTTTGAATACCATTGCGTCTGTTCAACGCCACTTTCTGGATCTGTACTGCTCCAAGGAGAGACAGTGCAAGCTTGGCTATGACTCTAGTGGAGCCTGTGATTCATTTCAGCTTGGACAAATGCTCAAGTTCTTGGTATCAAAGAATCTGTTGTTCCTCGTCGACTACACTTCGCCGTCTCTTGAGGCTGTGCCAGACGGCGCCATGATTAACATTGATGATCTCCTCAACACTCTCAAGCAGTGCCCCAACTATCAAATCGACAAACACCACACGAATTGTGGGCTTAAAATTCGCATGGATCCGATTATAGATTACATCCGGACCATGCTGAGCGCAAGCGGCACTTCCATCGCGCACGCTGACTGGAAGAAGCGTCGATCCGAGGTGTCGTGGACGCAGCTGAGAGACCGCCGGCTTAGAGAGGACGAAGAAGAAGTCAAGTTTGTCTTCACCAGAGCAGTGGCAAGCGATCAGCGGCTTCGTTACGAAGCGGCCATGTACACCGATAGGCTGTCAAAAGGCCTCTTCACGGCAAGCTCGTGGGACTGGACTCCTGAAGCTTAGGATGCGGAGAAAGAGGAGCTGGGCCTTGCGTTTTTGTGTCGTGCACGTACATTATACCTCGAACGCTTAGTAAGTATGGAATATGGAAATGCGCGTGCTGGCAGTAAGAAATGCAGCCTAAAATCTACTGGCCTTTATGAAGGACACTGAAATGGAAATATAGAGTGTGGGATCAGTGTGCATCATCACCCTCGATGCGAAGCAATTTTACGAGAATACAAAGCTTCGCTGGCTTATTATCATGTACCTATATATACATAGTATATATGTCATAACAGTACCATCAAATGAGATGTCTCATGTCCAATGATTGCTCTGCCCATTTTCTAGTGTAGAGTCGTAGTTGTTTCTGTTACGTTTTTGGACTCAACAACTCCGTCGTTACTCTCGCTTCCGCTACGGGCTTCTGTGTCAGCGGGGACAGCGGGCTTCGCTTTCTGCAGGGGCCACCGTCCCTTGGTCTCGCGGAATCTAAGGAGGATGAACGAAGACATGACAAACACCCAGTAGAGGTTGTACGCGATGACGGAACCGTATGTACCAGTGTTGTTCCATCCGAGGATGGCGTTGAAGATGCCCCAGCCTCCATTGTTTGGTAGATTAGGATTGCAGCACTATTATTGTTAGACAAGCCGTGTTTTTCCAAGTTGATGACGATGGGGTACTTACGTTGACGTGCCACACAACTTTGTCAATATCATATGATCCAGGACCAGAGCCAAGCTCAGAGGCATCGCTACCGACAATATTGTTCCATTTTCCCTGTTCAAGCGACCAAACGGCACGCGAAAACAGGCCTGACCCGACAAGATATAGCAAACAAGTAGATGCGACTAGGAAATATTGCAATCTTGTGGATGAGCCTCCCCTGAACAGATCGATTAGTCACTGTGTCATGGATAAAGAAAAGATACCAAAGGGCAAACTCACTTGTACAAGATATATCCCACGGCAAATCCTGTTAATAATCCCACAACCACAGGGAGAGGCACAGCATACGCCGGAGCTGAGAATGTCACGCCAGCCACAAACACGACAGCCTCAATGCCCTCTCGCAGCACGGTGATAAAGGGCAGGAAGAACATGGCGTACTTCTCCAAGACCTGGGAGACCCAACTGCGGCCTGACCCGACCTTGATGGGCGACTCAATGGCCTTGGCGAGCTTGACGCGCCACTTCTCCTGCATCTTGCCAATGCGTAGCAGCGCGGCGCCCATGATGGTGATGATGATGGACGCCACGAGCGAAAAGGCGCCCTCGTAGTACTGCTCGCTCTTGTCCCAGGTGTTGGAGCCGACGGTGTAAAAGACGCCGATGAGGGCGGCGCCGATGATCATGCAGAACAAGAAGCCTGAGGCAATGCCAATCCAGATCTACATGATTGACGTGTAAGTTCAAGTAGTTCTCGTGACGCATCTTTTCTGTATTTACCTGTCTCCGCAGCTTCTTGTAAGATGCGCGGTCGGCATTTGGGCCATCGAGCGTCTGCTTCAGAAAGGCGAGCAGGACAGAAACAATAATGACCGTCTCCAGCGTCTCGCGGAAGACGACGAGGAAGACGGGGACTGAGAAGACGTCTTTGGCCATTGCGGGCAACGAGCAGCGGGAGTCTGCTGGCAGAAACAAGAGCAGCAATTACTGGGTACGAAGAGAAAGACGAAGAAGAAGAAGAAAGGAAACTGCAAGGGAGAGAGCTGAAAATATTGATTCTTACAACGGCCGTGGACAGGGTAACAGCGGCATCGGCATCGGCAGCATAAAACAGAATTTGAAGAGACAAAAGCTCGCTGTTACCGCGACAAGTTACCGAGACATTTCCAGCCCGGTCCAATTCTTAGATCAAACAGCCGGGGTCAAAATCCGACTCGGATCAGATAAGCTTGTCCAGGAAGCTTGTCCATGGCGTTTAGTTTACTTTGTGGCACCTATTTTCTTGACCCCACTCTCACTTACATTAGGGCGCGGATGAATTGGCGATGGGTCGACCAACAAAAGAGAGCAAGAGATGAAAATTTTACCGTTGGGTTACATGGATCTAATTCTGTCCAAGGCCATGGTATGTCACTGCTAGGACGATGGGAATAAAACGGTCAAAGAGAATTTGGTACGAGTGATCTGGTACGAGTGAAGAACCTGCAGATGGCTTCCGCATACGGGTCGGTTAAAAGGGCTGTCGAGACTGGTGGGATAAAATGCTTCGACATGCTATGGATACAGGATATCATCGGCGGGACAGAAGCCAATATGGATCCCTTTGAAAGGACGGCTTAGTGTCATGACAATTTTATCATCTGATGTACAATTTTTCCCTCTTCATCCTCTTCGTAACTGTACAAGTCTTGTTGGTCTCTGCTCACCTTAGATCGAGTTCTCTAGTTAAAAGAACCAAAAAGAATAGCGTGGCCCCATCATGGCTTGTTGTTTTTCCCATTTCCTTCTTCTTCTCTCGTAAATACGAACTAAAGCGAAACTACTGACAAGCCATTCTTTGTGCGCCATTTTAATCCTGGTCCGTCTTTGCGCTGTGGCTTACAGTAGCGACCATCACCGGAACATTTGAACTCTGCAGCTCTCTTGATCATTTTATCTGATTACGCTAACGGCCGTCTATCCCAACCACAGCTGCGCCCCGCTGCGCTACCGCTGGGCCACAACTGGATCTCGGCGATCTTTGTCGCCCAATCATGGGGAGGAATTAAGCCAAGATTTATGCTTATAGGTACTTTGGCGCTACTATCTCGGAGAAGCCAACGAGCTGCCGAGGACATCCATTCGCATACACTGGGTTTTCCAACCAAAGTACTATCTTCTTCCACTGTGGCCCAAGCAAACACCGCGCCAGTGCTACCCAATTTTTTGGGGAGACGTTATTCGGCACCCCAATCTCATTCTCCAACAACCCAGCTGTAGCGTAACAAGGCAGCTATTCCATATATTCAGATACACATGCATAACTGCGAAATATGATATATATAGAAATAGAGTAATAGCAGCAGTAGCAGTAGAAGTAATAACAGTAGTAGAAGTAATAACAGTAGTAGAAGTAATAACAGTAATAACAGTAGTAGCAGTAGTAGCAGTAGTAGCAGTAGTAGCAGTAGTAGCAGTAGTAGCAGTAGTAGCAGTAGTAGCAGTAGTAGCAGTAGTAGCAGTAGTAGCAGTAGTAGCAGTAGTAGCAGTAGTAGC